CTTCTCGGGGCCATCGGCCGAATTTGACTTTGCAAAGAGAGCCATACCAAAGAACAGACGAGCGCGGATAAGCAGGAGGCCTTGCGTAGGGCATGCGAGCTGGTTGGTGTACTGAGAAAGCTGGGCCCTCCTTTGTAGACTGTCGGCAGCCTCGGTAGCGACTCGAGGTCTTAAAATTAAACTCGGAGCCGCCGCCATCGAAATTTGGAGACGACTGCAGGTCGAGATTTCTTGGCTAGCGAGCTAATGGGCACAAGTTACAACGGCGACCAGCAACGACAACGTTTTTCTGGCTCATGCCATGTCTCATAATTCCTTTTCCGTCGGCAGGATGGGGCTTCGAGAAGTGGCTGCAGAGTGTGCAAACAGATGGCTGGTTGCGTGTCTAGGACTCGAGGTTCGGACATCTGATGACTTTTGGTCAGCGGATGCCGGATGACTGCCACTCCCGAGTATTGCTGACGATGAATTGTTTCGAGGGTAACTGTCTCATCGCAACTTGACGTTTTCCCGAAGCAAAGCTTGGTCCCTTGTTCGATCAACCTGCCAGATCCACGCCGATTTGAGCTTACCAAGAGGAGAGGAGACTTGGTCGGTAATAAACCCGCCGTAGATTTGTCCGAGACCGATCCCAGTCCGGGAATCAAAGCGACGATGGAGGCTCGAAATGACAGGCACTCGACTTCTATCCAGGAGTGCGTGATCAAAACGAATGGACCTGATCAGACTCAAGCTCGGCCGTTCCTATGGCATGGCATGTAGTCTGGGACGCTGATACGATAGCACTTTCAGTTACCCCGGCTTGGTGAAGACACAAGGGGACGGCTCCCTGCAGGCCGTCGCCGGGATCGTGTCGAGTTCACGACGGGTGGTTGGCAGGGTAAAGCAAATGTCTGTCCCGTGCATGTACGAATACGTACTCCGTACGTACGACCTCTGACTTTCTAATTCCTGGAGGCTCTAGAGCGTCGTCCAAGAATGCCCAGACCGAAAAGCATGTTGTCGGGACAGATAGGCGATGGAGACAAGACTAGGACGAGGCATTCATAGACTTGCTTGATTTTCCCCGATGTCTTCTCGAGAGCGACTGTCTGTGATGCACTCGACTCTCTCTCTCTCTCTCTCTCTCTCTCTCTCTCTCTCTCTCTCTGATTGCATGGAGGGAAACAGGAGACGACCGTTTGACGCAGGTGTGGATATGGGACGCAGTTCCATCGGCAGCCACATGTTGCGTCTTGCAGACTTAGACGAGTTATGAGAAGATGCTGACAGTCTGGCAGAGCCTGTGGGAGGCGAATCGTGTACCGATTCGCTGAATTGAAGAATCGAGGTCGTCAATTGCGATGTGGGAGGGGGCGTGAATGGAGGCGAGGGGCAGAACCTGGAAGGGAAAATTGACCGGTGCGGAATGCTGGAGGCTCCCTAGACCTGCCGACCTGGAGGTTGGCACCTGACGAAGGTACCTATGTATGTACCTTAGTTAGATAACGTAAGTATGGCAAGCATGGGCTGCCGCTGCAAGGTACCTTGCTTGGACCTCCGTTGCTCTTCCGTACGCCCCGGCTGCTTACAGGACAAACTTCATCCCGCAATCACGCAAAACAGTATTGACCAGGACAAGAGCAAGACGGGGACTCTTGAGAGAAGCTCTCCCGAATCTTTATTTCAACTCATATCGCCGCTGTCAGTACGGATACCTATGTCGCCATCTACCGGTACTTTTGTTCCGATCACGACTTTGACCCATAATTCGCAAGGACGAACACTTGAAAAGAGCCGCCGGACAGGATATACCTGGTGCTCTGGCCTTAATAATACCTTGGCATTAGAGATTAAACACGAATGAGAGGAAGATGCAAGAACAGGCCCGAGATGGGGCGTTAGCGTGACGCTACTCTCGTAGCCCCAGAGGGTCTCCTCAAGCATTGAAGGCAGACTGTCCTGGAAGCTTGAATAGTGGTTCTTTCAGGCACCAAGACTCTGCCCATCACTTTGCCTGTATATCACAACTGCTGCCATCTGGGCTATTATTTGGCAAAAACGCGTCTGATAGGGAGACTGAAAGCGTATCTTTCGAGTTAGGAGGCGCTCACGGCGCTTCACACGTTGATGCTTTTGTAACCCTCTCATGGCTGCGTGCCTTAAGTCGGGTAAGGTGCCTTCCCTTATTGGTATCCGCAGTTTATCAATTGAAGTGGCGTGCTTTCTGGAGAAGCAGGAAGGAACGAAACACAGGAATTGTGAGATGGGACGAAGGGACGTCCCGTCGGCCTGTCCCTCTGTTTCCCTCTTTCCCCCTCCACTTCCCGAACAAACCTACAGTGACATGGAAGGTCTGACAGTGACGCGGTTCCTTTGGCCGAGTAAAGATTTACGGCACTCTACCTCGAGAATCGAGACTGAAGAGTCAATTGGAACTTGGAAGGCCGCTGATGAGGGTCTTCAACCTGGAACGGACCATCTCACACCTCTCCACCTACCTGCAGGGTTGCGGACTTGTTGTGAACGTCAATCACTTTTTTCCTGCTTCTATTTTCCGCACACGTACCCAGTTACCTCGTATCGACAACTCATAGTTCCAGCTCATTCGTTGGATTCACTTGCCGTGCCAGAAAAAAAAAACTTGCAAGATGGCAGCCGAAAGAGATTTACGCCGACTCTTAAGGATAGTCTTCCATCGAATATAGTATACTAGCACGACCGGGAAGCCACGCCGTCTCCAGCAAAATTCAATCTTGAAATCCTCCCGGGGTGATTTTGGTACATGGGAGAACCCACAGAATGAATGATGTAAGTAACGAGCAAAGCCACCCCCCCGATAATGCCCTTATCGAAGTTGATGTACGAATATGACGCAAAAGTAGCATGCTATGCATAGGTAGGTAGTAGGGAATTTGGCATAACCTGCCACGGCCAGATACATTTTACGGCTTGACCTACCTTTGCGCTTAGTATGTCGACGATGCCTTGCAATTCCCACCTCCAAGTATCCACTCGTACGTGCATGGCCGTCGACGTCGAGGCAGTACATAGGACAACGAACCCGTCCGTTCCCGTTCTGCAACTGTCCGCCGCGCATTGGCCTGTAGGCCGCCGCCCAGGCCGGAGTAGCCTAATGACAACTTAGCCAATCCCGTCCGTCAATAATTCAATCTCAATATGGCACGGCCGAGATTCGATCGAGACAGGTCGACCCAATCCGAGCCGATGACAGCGAACTAACTGGTCATTGACCCGATCCGATTTCATGAGCTTTCAATAATGCGGCACCACGATGCACGAAAAAGGGAGACACTCCAAAGAAAATGGATTACACTCACATTGGCACACCCTCGTCAATAGTCGGCGGATTAAAGCTCCGTCAATTGCTGCGCATCCTGCGTTGCTACCAAATACATGCCAGGGCGAACCTCAAAGGGGAATGTTCATGTCGCCTTGGACACCCGTGTTGGTTTGGTCCGTCTTGGTCTCGTCGGCTGCCTTGCCGCCCCAGACTTGACCCCTGTTTAGGAAGGTTTGTTCCCCTGCGGAAATGGACGGTCAAACGGCGTCTTGCTGCTCTCCGCCGTTGAGGGGCCGGGCCTCTAGTGCACTTTCGCGTCCAAGTATGGCGCATGCGGGCGCTTCTGGTTGGCAGGGGTCGGAGATCACAGATCTGACGATGGCCGCTCATGGGTGCATGAGCAAGCCGCAACGCATTTTTATTGACTTGAGCTTATGCCTCATATGGGGATTTGATTTACGGATAGGCCATTCGCCATAGTCAGGCTAAAGGCCCGTCGGTGAGAGGTAGGTCACAACAAGCTCATACAGTCAGGCTAGGGATGATTAGTGAGCCAAGGCCATTTCGAGGCAGGAACGTGTGCTACTCATCTCTCGCTGCAAACATTGTGTCTGATGGGGACACTACGGATACAATAACTTCTATCTTCTGCCGTTAAGACCGGCCATGTCCGTTGTCGGATAATTGCTCGTCGTCCAATGGAGCGGTGAGGACAGAACGTGGTATTTTCTCAATACACGTAACACTTCTTATCACGAGATGGGTACCATCACGAGATACGAGCTCTTGGACCCCGTCTCACTATGGCTTGTTGCCCAAGTAATACCATGTGAGTGGAAACATTAAAATCCTGCCGGGCAATCCACCAGCCGGAGCTCTTAGGCGCGGTCTCGGGCTAGATCCAACTATTACGCTCTGTGCTTGGCTTAAGGTTAGCCCGACATTGAAATTTCATATTTTTCCGATGTTCTGGTCACATAATTCCTTTCAGCCATGCCTATACTCATAAGAGCCTCCTACTATCCATTAAGAAGCATCAAATTGCCCTTTCACTGAATGGCGGCTAACATCTTGAAGGATGCCGCCTGGCTTAGCGGCTCTTGTTTGTTTCACTGCTTCACTTGCTACTCATAATTGACATCGAGCCCCAGAATACGTCAGTATTCTTGACATTTCTCGACGGGTTGAGTGAGCCTCTAGGGCTCATTTGCAGACCTGAGCGAGTGAAAACCCAGGATGAGCGACTGGTAGCACCGAAAGTTCAGTCTCCCGGGCCGTCTTCAGACCATTGGTTCCCGCCCAGAGTGACTGCCCGGCCAATGACAAGCTACCCCGCCCTTCCTCAGATGCACTCACAGAATTTTTTTAAACCTCTGGCGCAAGGCACAACCACAAGACTTTGAAGTGAATACTCTGTGTAACGAGACACCAGAAACCCCCATGACAGACATCTGAACCCCGAAGAAAAATCTACAAGATCCAAGAGGCCGGGAAAAGCGTGACCCCTGGACTCCGTGAAACTAGCTTCGAAATTGCTGCCTTTATTTTTTTTTCACTCTCACTTGGACAGTCAAATAGGTCACCCGTCTCAGCCAGAATATCTCTCGAGAGTTACCTCTCTAAGGAAGGAAGACTCGACCTCACCTCCTCTCACTCCTCACCAAGGCAAAGTCATTAACACCCAGTATCTCACACTCACATTCACCAACATCCAACCATGTCATCATCCACCGAACACTGCCGCCTCGTGGTCCTCTGCTCCGGCTCCGGCACGAACCTGCAAGCCATCATCAACGCAGTCGCCGACGGCACCGTGCCGCAAAGCAAGATCGAAAAGGTCATCGTGAACCGCAAGACCGCCTACGCCGTCCAGCGTGCGGAGAAGGCGGGCATCCCGACGCGGTACTTCAACCTCGTCTCGGGCGGCTTCACGGCCAAGGGCGAAAAGGACGAGGCCAAACTCAAGGAGGGCCGCGGCCGGTACGACGCGGCGCTGGCCGAGGTCGTGCTGCAGGACAAGCCGGACCTGATCGTCCTCGCCGGGTGGATGCACGTGTTTAGCGCGCCGTTTTTGCGGCCGTTGGAGGCGGCTGGGGTTCCTGTTATTAATCTCCATCCGGCGCTGCCTGGTAGGTTTTTTGTTTTTATATATCTTTTCTGTGACGCTCTGGAGAGAGGGGGGCAAAAGGGGGGAAAGGGGGAATTGTGATGGATGCGAAGATTGTTAACTAACACTGCTCGTCAGGCCGTTATGATGGTGCCAATGCGATTGGCAGGGCGTATGAGGATTTCCAGGCCGGCAAGCTTGAGAACAACCGGACCGGAGCAATGATTCACTATGTCATTGAGACAGTGGACCGTGGAGAGCCTGTTCGTCTACTCCTGGAGGTGTTCCCCCTGTCCACTTATACATTTTGCTGACGGGCTATGGTAGATCCTCATTGAAGAGGTTGAGATTCGCTCGGGCGATAGTCTGGCAGATGTTGAAGAACGCATGCACAACGTCGAACACGGTCTCATTGTCAAGGCCACCGCAAAGGTCGTCCAGAAGATTCTGGAAAAGAAGAAGAAGCAGCTCTGAGCATTGGCAGTAAGGGGCAAAAAGGTTGGGAAGCTTTCGTGACACAAGACTTCAACGTCGTCACACGTGATCAATCAGACTCATGGCTAGGCTCTGTATGAGCCTGGGCTGAGCTTCTGCCTTCAGCTTCTAGGTTCAGCATTCGGCCCTGTGGTGCTTTTCAAGATGCAGCGCCCAGCTTATGTGGCCAGTCGTGTTGGCTTCCCGTATCATTCAGGGCCAAAGGCCGGGGCGTTCCGTGGTCCCCGAGGAGTCATCGGGTTTTGAACAGGCGCAGTAGCCCATCTAACATGGCGAAGAGCCGGGCAAGCCATGTTTGCGTTGGAAAGGAGTTTGTCACCGAGTGGATGACCCATGAAGGCGACTTTTTGAGACAATATGGCCCTGAAGAGGTCACCTATGAGCTGGATCAGGAGTCCGTCTTGCGGCTCTTCTCTACCCAGCTCGGTCTTCAGAGAGAACACTCAATGAAAGAAATCTCTGTGCCAAAATGGACCGCAGATTTCGGACTGCGAACCGCGAACCGCCAAGCGACATTGTCCCGTCATGATCTATGGTAACCTTTACCGGCTATTGATGATCTGAACCCAGAGGATGCATCGAACAAGAGCCTCTCGCAAATAAGTGATTCAGTTCAAAAAGACGGAAGACGTGAATAACATCGTCCGTCATAAAAGAAAAGCCCAAGCCCCAAATCGGCCCAAGTTCGGGCCTCTTACCCATGTGCGGGCAGCAACCAAAGCCGAAGTCAGCAGAATGGGGGGTGCATCCGTGCCAGTTTCCGAATCGAGTTATCTTTATTCGTTTTTTTTTTGTTTTTTGGGCAGGGTGGAAAAGGATAAGCTATCGTGATCATGAAAGGGAAGCCGGAGCCGGGGTCGCAGCGGAGGACCCCTCATCAGGTGATGCAGGTGATGGCGGACAGGTACGCCGTACGAAAAAAAGAAGTTCGCCAAAAGTTGCTGCGAATGAGTGAGAAGATGCGGCTCTGCTGAGATGTTCTGCAGGTCCACGGCCCGGGGAGGGGGAAGGGGGGAACCCCTAACCAACTTCCCTAATTGAGGAGCCAATGACGAGTGCAGGGCTGAAGGAATTGGGTGAACGCGGGAGTTGAGCTAGGGTTTCTTGAGTCTTTTTGACGTTGATCAACAAGTTCTAGTGTCCTAACTTGCTGTTTCTGTTTTGTTGCATTCAAGTATACCCTCCATACGGACTATCCGCAAGTCCTGCCTGGGTTACCATCGAACATGCCGTAATGCCAAGCCACGGCGCTATGCAAGCATTGTCACCAGAAACCCCATCGTCTCTTATGCCGGAGTTGAGACGGGAGACAACTTGATTGTCCGTTTTTGCCGACGTGCTGCGCCTCGGAACGAGTCTCGAAAGATGAGTACCTAACCTAGGAAAGGGGAAGGGATAAGCAGGGTCGAATTAGGGAGCAAACAGTTACCGTTTGATCTGAATCTTGGCGGTGGCTCGAGTAGAGCTTCCTTTTGGTAAGTGATGGGAATGGTTCAGACAATTGGGGGCCCTGGAGGCTGGGGGTACCTCAGATAGTATGAACTTAGTCAGTTGGTGCTCGGCTAAGCCAACTCTGGTAAAAGGCAAGACAATACGGAGAAGGTATGGGGGGCAACGCGGGCCGGGGGTTGAAATGGATTATGGACTCGGAAGTGGCGGTAAAAGGGCAGGTTGAGTCGGGGGGAAAGGGCACTAATTAGCCATGTTGGGGCCCTTGGGGGCTGTACTCAACTTTTTTCACTCAGGACTAGCCGAATCAATCGAACGAGATGAGAAAGTATTGGCGCGACAGTGAGCTCTCCACAAGGTGTGTGTGTGTGTGTGTGTGTGTGTGTGCTCTGGTTGAGTTCAGACTTTGGAGAGTAGAAGAAAAAGAAGGGCTGGCGAAGTTATGCGATGAAGTCATGAACCCGGCAGCTGAAAGGTCAAACCTAGTTTCGAGTATCCCCCAAGGTAAGAGAGGCTTGATGTTGCACAAAGTGCCAGAAACCCCAAGAGTCCGTGGTTTGCTGAGCACCTTCAAGAGATGGTGGCCTATGGTCCATGGAGGGACCATTCAGAATGGCAGAACGAGACACGGGAGACAATGCTGAAGGGCCGACACCGGCTCAAAAGGCAACTTGGCGCGAGGTCGCCCCCGTTTTCCAGCTGAAAGCTCCAGTCTTTTTTTCTACAATTGCCTCGCCCCAATTAAGAGTATCGCGACCTGGTTGGCTGGGGGCGTTCTTGGAAATGGAAATGGGCAAACCTTTTTTTCCTTTTCTCTCTTGCTGAGGCCAGGGCCGGGGGGTTTCGTTCTTCGGGTGCACGGGAAAGGGCAACTCGAAACTACCTTAGGTATTATTTGTATCTGTACGTATCCGTACTCCGAAGTGTACCTACCTTGCTATGGTAGGTACGGGTAGATAGGCCAAGGTACCTACCTACCATGCCTGTCTACCTTGCCTTGCCTTGCCTCGATGATGACAGGGGAGCTCCCTCATTGCCCATCTGAGCAGCGAAATAGTCAACAAGAAAGAGCGAGAGGAGGGGAGAGACAGAGAGAGCAAGACCTACCCTCAAACATTCAGGACCTTGCCTCACCTGGGAAAAGCGCCCAGAGGAGCTACAGCAGAATCCATGGCGTTGCGCAGGTTCAAACGCCAGTAGCCACTCCTCCGATACAACATTGGTCGGGTCTGCCAACGCCCGTACCGTGAAGCTCCCCAAGCGTCTCTTGGTTTTGTCGAATCGTAGCCCCAGGAAGCTCTACGCGAGTATGAGCTCTCTCGAAAAGGTCCCCTCCCCATCCAAACCAAGCCCCCCCAGACCCCAACCCACTGTCTCGCCGCGCCTTGCCTTACCTTACCTTGCCGGCTGCTCGTCTCCTCAGACCCTCCGGGTCCATACTGCATACTCCGTCACTGGGGTCCGCCTTTTTTTTACACGTCCACGCGCGCCGGGACCTGCCAATTCACAGCTTGGAGCTGCCTGCTGCACGCCGACCACGAGATTATCAATCTCATCTATTATCTTGGCCTTCTCCCTCGCATCGCGCCGGCTACTCTTCCCTTTTTTCTTCTCTCTCTTTCTCCTTCACTTCAATCTCACTTCACCTACCTTACCTACCCGTCCGCCAAGCTCCACTCCATTCCCTCTGGTCCTCCTCCCTGGTCGTCTCCCTCCCCAATTCGACCTCCGCCGTCATCACCTCTCTTTCTTTTCCTCCGGCCACGATGAGCTCGCCGCAGGATCATCGCTCGAGCAGCCCTCGAGTAGGCTCATTCAAACGTCCCTCAGTACTCAATGCCGATAGCGACCCGTCACTCTTGGCCACGAGAGGCAGCGGCGCCTTGGTATCGCTCATCCGGAACCGCTCCAATGCCACTCTGCGAGAGTCGCTCAAGAGCCCGGCCTACCACCAGCTGGGCCACGACGAAGAGGAACATGAGAGCACCTCTCTGCTCGGCTTCCTGCATAGGGACTCGGACGATGACCACCACCACCGCTCCGCCGCCGAGGAGCGCCGTCTAAGCGAACTCATCTTCGGCCCTCAGATGAGGAGCATGCGCCTTATCGGGAACAGCAACCCGCGCTATCAATGGGAGCGCTACTGGAAGACGGAGGCCGAGCTTGAGGTTATGCCAAAGCATATGTGAGTTCCTGCTGTGCAATCGTGCCGCCCCGGATTGCCCAGGCGCAATTCGGGGTCCCCAGATTACTCCCGTACTCCGTCGACTGTTCGGCATGTACCAATCTGTGAGTTGAGGTGCGGATTGCTAACGCGCATTGCCAATTCCTAAAGCCGCGAATATTACGAGAGAAACAATGATTTGATTCGCATGTACCTCTACATCGACCAGCTCTTGGATTCATCCGTGCCCCACGATCTGCTCAACGAGTATCACCAAGCTCTAGACGCCTCGGCCTACCGCCCAGTCGATGTCCCCCAGACCATTACCGAGGAGTCGCCAACTCCCACCTCACCACCGTCCAGAGGCGGCCTCACCTACGGCAGCACTACTGCTTCAGCCCAAAACAGCAGCACGGAGCAGAGTAGTTCGGCAAACAGCATACAGCAAAAGGCGAAACGCAAACCCAAGGACATTTTTCGGTCCACCGAGGCGACCCCACTTCTCAGTGGCTCTGACGAGGAGGAAGGTTTAGCCGATCAGCCCAAGCCCGAAATTCCATGGCTCGAGGACTCCGACCTTGACAGCAGCGACCCCATCGTCACTTTGGCCATTTGGGTCAATTTCATCGCAAACGCGGCTTTGCTAATCGGAAAGATTCTCGTTGTCGTTTCCGTACCTTCAGTCTCAGTCCTGGCCAGTTTGGTCGACGCGGTTCTCGACTTCCTCAGCACGGCAATTGTGTGGACGACGACTAGGCTCATTGCCGCCAGCCAAAATGACCAGCATTCATATCCCGTGGGCAGACAGCGGTAAGTATCAATTTTCGCCCCTTAACTTTTTTCGCCATGCTGCCTCCGCGTTGCATTCCGAGCCGCGTGCTGACTCGCTACAGTCTCGAGCCTCTTGGCGTGCTGGTTTTCTCCATCGTAATGGTTACATCCTTCTGCCAGGTCGCTCTGGAAGCTATCCAGCGTCTCATGTCGCCCGACCATGAAATCGTTCAACTGTACGTCTCCTTCGCTCCGCAATTTTCACAAATCCGCCTTGCTAACCTCACGGGAACTATAGCGGCATTCCGGCCATCTCCATTATGGTTGGTACCGTGGTGATCAAGGGCTTATGCTGGCTCTGGTGTCGTCTCATCAAGAATTCGAGCGTTCGGGCGTTGTAAGTTGATCTGACACCCTGCTCCTCTTTCGTCGTAACCTCAACGTTTGCGTCGCAACGGGTTTACGTAGCCGCCTCCTGATCGGCGCCTATCACGGAACATGGGGAACTTTCATGACTGACTCTGTGGTTTTCTCCATTCTGCAGGGCCGACGACGCCATGACCGATGTTATTTTCAACACTGGCTCCATCCTGTTCCCCATTGTGGGCTATTTCGCCAAAATCTGGTGGCTCGATGCCCTCGGTGGTCTCCTGCTGTCTCTCGTCGTCATCGTCAACTGGAGCGGAACCTCGATGCACCATGTCCGAAACCTGACGGGCTTTTCGGCGACTTCGGATGAGAGAAACCTCCGTGCGTAACTTCTTTTCTTCCTCTGGTCCCCTTCTCCTTCCCTCTAACCTGCCGTTTCGTCTCCCCCACAGTTTCTATACTTAGACCCTGTTATAACACCCCTTGTCATGCCTTTGTTTCCTCTTTTCCTCTTCCCCTTATTCAAAGCTTAAACACATACTGCAAGTCGGAGAGCCAATTGGCCAGTTGATGATGCATCATACATTCAGTGAAATCGTTCATGAACTAACATCACTACCTCAATAGTCCTTTACCTTACCATGCGCTTCGCCACGTCCATTAGGCAGATCCAGAATCTGCGGGCATACCACGCGGGAGACAAGCTCTTCGTCGAGGTCGACATTGTTCTCAATGCCAACATGCCTCTAAAGGATAGCCACGATCTCAGTGAGGTTCTGACGTATTTCCTCGAGTCGGTGCCCATCGTCGACCGCGCGTTTGTGCATGTCGACTACGCAACGTACAACGTTGATACGCACATCACTCAATAACCACGTAGTAAAAGCGTTGCCGCATAACACAAAACTCTGTAATACTAAGTACGGGCTATATCTTCTGGTAGCCCTCGTCATAATCTTCTCAATCTCTTCGTATCTTTTGTAACGGTTGGGAGCGTCGGTAGATCACCACCCCAAGGCGGGAAAGAGTGGACGCCATGGTACAAGGTCAACAGGAGTACGAGGCTGGAAACAGACTATAAAAAGAAGGATCAGGCCACAAAAAAAAAAAGGCAGCATCTTGGATGGATTAGCATTTTCAAAGCGATTTAGTGGTTCGTGGCCATTGTTGTACATTTTAGGTTTGTTTACTCGGTGTATCTGGTTGGCTACAAAAAGAAACAAGGGGTGGCTGTCTCCCACCTTCCCTTCCGTCCCGTCAGTGTGGGGATCGACAGGGTCTTTGGATGTTGTTTTGTTTGAGAATCCTCCGAAAGTTTCAAACATTGTTTTTTTTTTTTTTTTTTTTTGAATTTCTGGATTGTCGATCGACGACAAGGAAGTATAGCGCAGGGGGAGGCCGGAGGGATAAATGGGGTAGGAAAGACAAAGGACCGCAAGTAGCAAGCAGGATATGTTAGGGATGGCGGCGATGTGGCGCAAAGTTGAGCGAAAACAGAACCAAAACCATTCATCAACCTCATTTATATGATTATTATTACGACTACGGATTCTGCTAAAGGACGGAGAAGGTCCCTGTCTGCGCAACAAATCACTGCACAGACGTGTGGTGCTGTTGGTGCGACGGAGCGGCGTGCGGCGCGAGGAACCGCATTCAATATCTCAAGCCAGGATTAGGATTCTATAGAGGCGGCAGCGGCGAATCAACATAAGGGCCATGAACAAAAATTCTAAACTAAACAAAGTAAGACTCCCTCCCTCTTTCTTGTCCTCCTGCCCCCTTTCATCCTCGATCTCATGCGCAAGCAAGCCCAGATTAGTAGGGAATGCCGTTGGTGAGCAGCTGGAACTGGTCATAGACACCGGTCGAGTAGCTGTTTGCGCTCCTGCGGATGAGGTCCTTGACAAAGTCGGCCGCCTCGCGCTCGCTGCGCTCCAGCACGAAGCGCTCTTTAAAGTGCTGCACGCTCTCGGGCTTGAAGCACGGCAGGCCAGAGTCCATCATGAGCAGAACAATCTGGCTGAGCTTCTCGCAGTGCTGGCGGGACGCGAGGAAGGCCTTTACGCACAGCTCCTCGAACCACTTGAAGGCCTGGTGGTGCGGGCTGCCGCCCATGACGGCCAGCATCTCCGTCGTCAGCTTGAAAGGCGCGCGCTCGAACTTGATGCCTCCGGGTGCGATGTCGAAGCAGAAGCCAAAGTCAATGTGCAGAATGTGGCCCGCGTCGTCAATCATGATGTTTCCGTTGTGTCTGTCCTTGAACTGCAGGAGGAAGGAGATGATGGAGTAGGCGGCCATGCTCTTGACAAAGTTGCTGCGGGCCTGCTGGAAGCGGAGCGAGTCTTCGTTGCCGTACTTTGAGATGAAGTAGTCGTAGAGGCCGTTGACGGCCTCACGGCCGAGCATGTCGCGGGAGACGGAGTTGGGCAGCACGTCAATGACACCGCACCCAGGGGCCGTGGCCGTGACGCGGTAAGGGTTGACGTAGACATCCAGGCCGACGTTGTGGAAGATGCCTCGGAACGCCGCAATCATCTGCAGGGCAAGCACGTCCTGTCTGCAGTCATCGCCGACCTTGAAAATGGCAGACTGCCACACTTCAATGGTGTTTTCCTGCGCCGGCGGCGAGTCCTTCTTGTGAACATCCTCGAGCATGTCATTAACATCCTCTAGGCTGCCCTTGTTCTTCTTGATGCGGAACGTTGCCATGTAGGGCGCCTTGGCGTGACTCTGGAGAGGCTTGCCGGACTTGCGATCGATGCCAATCACGACACCATCAGGGTTACTAGGAAGGTAGACGCCAATCTCAACCTTGATCTTGCGCAGTTCCTCCTCGATCTTCTGTGCCTTTTCCGGCTTGGGTCGGCCGACATATGGCTTCAGTTTGCCCGAAATGTCAGTGACCTCGTCGAAGAAGGCGAACTCTCGCTCGTAGAACGTCCTGTCCACATCAGAGAAGCTTGCAACCATCTTTTCCATAACCTTGTCGAGTGTAGGCTTGATTGCGTCAGGCTATTACGTTGTTAGCATCGCACGTAACAACAGGCTCATGCAACTCACGATAGTTGCATCGTCATCCTTGTAGGCGTTTGCCTTCATGTTCCAGATGATCTGATGCGCGAACAGCTGCGAAAATTGAGCGGTCTCCAGGATGTACCGTTCCACATAGCCCAGCGCGTCGTAGCGCAGCGTCTGCACAATTTGGGGACGTAGAAGAAAGTCACATCGCTAGAGTGGCTTTCCATTGCCCTCATTGCGTACTGGATAAGGAAAGGATGGTTCCGATACGCAGGCAGGAAATACGTGGCAGCCGTGATCGGGTTCACCGGCGACCAGAACAACAGGTACTAGGATGGTCAGTACCAAAGTAGAGGGAGCCAGGGATGTCACTTACCTTCAGTTGGAAGCTAACATCGTTGGGCAAAGAGCCACCCAGAAGAATAGGAAGACCCTCCGGCTCGGAGATGGCCTTCTGCGGGAAGTTGATCAACAGCCATCTCACCTCGCGTTGGACACGGGGATAGGGGAATCGAGTGACCAATTCAACAGCAATAGACGGGTCCTCGGCCCAGGCAACACGAATGAGGGGTGCGAGGGCAGTCTGTACTCATTGTTAGTAACGTTCCCGGATTGCAAAAGTCACCGCGTACCTCGATAGCAGCCTTATTCGCTTGTCCGTGAGCCTTGGTGGGCTCGCCGAGTGGGTGGACCCACACCGACAAACGCGTTTGTTCGCTTTCAAGGAGGAAAACGAGAAGTTGCTCCTTGGCCTGCAGGGACTTGATCGTGTCTGCAGCGTTTGCTCCGATGAATGCAACATGCTTCAATGCCGCCACGATGTCGGTCAAGAGACGAAGTTCCGTCTTCAGTTGCAGGATGTTGCTACCGAAAGACCATCTTGGAGCGTAACGGAACCAGCTGAGTGCGGCAGACAAGATCTTCTCCTTGAACCGCCATTGCGCGATGGCACCAATGGTGGTACAGACATGCAGCACCTTCAGTCCGAACAATACAATCTGAAACCGCAGTTCTCGTGCCATCGGGTGAGGCGTCGATGATCGCACAGCATCCAGAGTGACATCAAGCATGCGCAGGAAGACTCGTTGGACATCCGGGCTACCCAAGCGGGTGGCATTAAAGTGGCTAGCGAAGAATTGCAGCAGCCTCATGTGGGGTGACAGCAGGTTGTGCACCTGCTGCTTGCGTTTGGCCAAGGCCTCAAGATCACTGGGCGCGAACTCTTCCTTCAGAAAGAAAGGGTCAGGGTGCCTGGAAATCTGTTAGTCGCGTTGAAGAGAGGGTGTCTGATGACTTACGACATGGCATGGCTAAACAGCCCGAGACCGCTCTGAATGGTCGCCTCCCATTGTTGGGCAATTTCGGTAAGAAGTCTAGGCTCAAGATGTGGATTCTCGTTCATCACGCCCAACCACAACGAGACACCGAGCTTAATAGATTGCTTTGTGAACATGGCAAAGGGGATGCTGACGAGGTAATGTGCAACAGCAGACTCATCGCGATTGCTGCGGCAAAGCAGAGCTGCAGCTCTGCGCAGGATATCGCGGACTTCATTAAGAGCGGTGGTCTTCTTGCTCTTGATGCGGGCTTCGACATGCGCCAGGGCGGTGGCGGCGTTTGCACTGTCACTGGCACTCGATCCCGACGACTGCAAGAAAGACGCTCTACGGTTCAATTGCATGAAATTGACCAGTTCGTTGCCACGTTCGGGGAGAGTCTCGCCATATCGGTACTCTTGACGAGTGGTGTACTGGGCAACAAAGTCAGATCCAGTGTTGATGCTGCATTCTCCGACCCGATCGAGAGACTGCAGTCTTTGGTCGGTTGACGGCATAAGAGAGCCAAGCTCGATAGCGAAGGAGCGACCCAAAGAGATGTGGCCGTAAGCTCCTTCGTCGTCAAACTCGGACAAGTACGTCTGTAGAAGACCCTTGATGTCTAGGGGTGCTATGCTGATAACGCTCGAGACCCATTGCTTGGCCCTGCGATTCAGAACGTCCAGGGTATGGCGGCGGAATGTGTAATCGTCGGATAGCTCGACGGACACGTCTCCGAGGCTAGAGGTGAATTTGGATCGTGGTGCGTACAGATCTGTTTCGGCTTCCAAGCAGCTCGACCACATCAGAGAAAGAAGTTCCAGCAAGGCGAAGAGCGATGATCTGTGGCAGAGAGCAGAAGGAACCTGAGTGATGATGCGGTCCGCACAGGTAAAGGCTGCTTGCTGAACTCGCTCGATCCGATGACAGCAGCCACAGAAGATGGCAACGAGCTGTGCGGCAGCATACTGAGCAGAGAAGGTGGCATCCGTACCGCCCAGAGTCTTACGTAAATACTTGTCCACTACAGCGGCAGCAATGCCCTCCATAGTACTACTGACCTCTCCTCTACGCATGCTGGGCTCCAAGAAGTAGGAGAGAGCCTTGGTACAGTCTCCAGCATCCGCTCGGAGACTCTCAACCAAGTAAGCGGCGTGCAAAAAGATAACCTTGCGGTAACTCAATCCCTTGATTTCCGTAGCCTTGTTAGGAATCAGCTCTGTGAGATGTCTCTTCTGCAGCGACTCTCTGTCGGAGCTCATGCCTCGGCGTAGGACGGTATTAAGCTCAATGTCACTCTCAATTTGCTCCCCTCGTTGTTCGGCAACCAAGGGGGGCGAGTGAACGGCCATGATTCGAAGCTCGTTGAGATAGGTCTTGCCCATGTCGGTCTGCGTAGTGAAGCCGTGGACAACAATGTTGAACCAAGCATCTCTGATCATTGAGTGCGACTCGTCATCAGTAATAGTATTGAATGCCAGATCGTTGGTGGACATGAAGACAGCCAAGGGATGCAGCAGCTCCGCAATCTCTCGGGCAGCCAGCTGAACATCGGCCTCCTTGGTGTGGTTCGACTGGTGAACGTCGCCCATGGAAATGATGCTCTCCAGCAGATGCTCCCAGTAAATATCATAAAGGGGAGATCCACGGTGGAGGTTCGCTGAGATGTATGTACGCGCCTTCATGACCTAGTGATTGTTAGATTGGGTATAAACTGAAAGACGATTGGTTCAGAGGCACTCACAGCAACCAGAAGGAAGTCCTTGTGGCCGACAACCCCAATATGACAAATTCTAGAGAACACCTTCAATAGCGATCGGAACTCAAGCTGTCCGCCCTTCAACGCGAGAGCGGCAGCACCACTGACGATTTGAGCATCGACACTGCTGTTGACCTTGTCAATTTTCTGAAGCAGCATGGACTGCGCCAAGGCTGTGATCTTCTCGTCATTGCAAGCAGTCGCAATGCCACAGATGGCTTGGACGACGTTGCCATACACCATTGCGGTTTCTTCCTCGCCGGTGATGGCCAAGGAGATGCTGCTGCCGGTCGAATGACGATTTGGGTATAACGTTGCAGCAGCATCCACGGCGAGATCACCATTGGTGCCGTTCGTCATGGATCTGTCGGAGCCAGGGCTGAGAACGTTACCCAAGGTGTAGAGAGTTGTGATGACAGCGTCATGAGAAAGGAGCTGTAGAACAAACGCCAGACTCTTGGAAGCGACCGCAACGGTGCGAGCGTTGGGCGCGCTCTGCACAATAAAACGAGGCAGCAGTCTACTGGCGGTTGCAGCGTATCCCCTGGAGATCTTGCAGACCAAGGCAATCGATCTCAAGACAGTTGCCGCCAGGTTTTCATCCGCCATTTCGAGAGGGTCTGCAAGGGTCTCCTCCAGCCAATTAATCAAGACATCGACGTCTGCAACATCCTCGTTCATGAGCGAGCAATTGAGATAGCTGATGAGAGCTGCCGATTTGACTGCAAACGCCAGTCTCTGCTGCCAAGAGGACCCAAGCTTGAGGTAGTCTTCGCCGGCTTCGAGATAGTTCATCTGATCAACGGCTACTGTGGTGTACATGTCGAGGGACCTATAGTCTGCGTCAGGACTGCGTGGAGAGCCTGGTCTGAAAGCCCCATCGCCTGACATGAGCAAGTCGAGGATGTGGGTGCCGCGCAAGAGGGATGCGTCAGTAACCAAAAGCGAGGTGCCCGAGACAAGGAGCCACATGTAACTTCTTTGAAGCAAGATAGCTCCCAGGGGTCGCCCAGCAGCAGAGTAGTGGCGCAAGTATCTCTTCCACTCTCTGGCATGGCGATCTGAGGACTGTGAGTTCCTGATGGTAGAAAAAGCCGTCTCGACAGCAACCAAGAACGACTCTGAGAGGATATCTCTGAACCGCTGAACCAGTGCCAGTCTACCTCCAGCCCTCCAGAAGTCTGCTTGGGCGGATGCCGCATCAAGGAAGCCAAGCAGCGAGACTGCAATTGTAGCTGTCCTGATAGCGTCCTCCAAGTTTGGGTCTTCGTCGTCCGCTTGAGGTGGGACAGTGTGATCCACCGCATGATCGCAGGCATTGACGAATGCCCAGATGTTGTCGGAAATCATCTCGTACAGATCATCGTAGTGGGAGCCGAGAGACAGTAGCGCGGCCGTGATGTGGAATGCCAGTGCCTCCGTCGGTGATGGCTCAACCTTTCGGAAGAAGGGCGACGGAACAAACACCTGGACGTGGGCCTCGAGAATATAGGGAATCAGTTGATGGGCAAGCTTCTGGGCGCTCTGGCTCGTCTGAATAGCGGGCGCGGCTTTGCATAGCGATAGGAGGACCTCGAATTCGCGAATTGTCTACAGAAATAGGGGGCTTGTTAGCCATGGCTCACTACGAGATACAACGACACCAATCGCATGGAATATGTTGAGAAGTGCACTACCATGGGACATCTCCCGAGAGACGACAAGTTCTGCTTTCCAGAATAGCCATTGACGCCCTTCCCAGCAGCCTGGGTTGCCTTGCACAATCGGTCGAGATCAGAGCGGTCGAACGACGTACGCGAGCTGGCAGCAGAGAGCGACGCGATCTTCTCCAGCGCCCGCTGCCGAATGTCGCGGGTCATCTTACGGGAGTTCGTAGGGCTCTAGACCCCGTAGCGAGAAGTTTGGTCGATGGTTGGAAGGATTCGATACTTTCGTGGTTTATTGAAGCATTTCACGATGGGGAGGTTTCCTTGGAATTCGCGTCTAATTGCTGGCAGCTGCACAGTGACGATACCTTGTCTTTAGTGGTGTCTGCAAGCCTCCCCCAAATTTCCCATCTGAGAGCAGCCACATCCCTGCACAGCTCCTGCCATTCCTGAGCTCTTTTGCCTTAGTCATCAGGTGAGCTAGCTACCCCTGCCATCCACCATCACCCACCCAGCAAGGCTGCCAGCTTGACGCGTGCACCGGAGCACTCAGCAGTAGCAGCCTTGAACCTCAATCAAAGCAACGACGTCCCATCAAACCAACCCCACCAACGAGCGAACCTCATCGAATTGACGATAACCACCCTTTTGACGACCGGCATTTCCCTCACGAACGATAACGAATAATCTCCATTTCTCTTCAGATACCGCAGCCATGGCTATGTTCAGCCAAAATCCCCTGATGAACGGGCCCAACTACTCCTTCTCCGAGGCCCCCAAGACCGCCAACGGCGAGTTCAGGCAGCACCGCTTCAACCCGTACGGAGCTTCCCTCGACCCTCTCATCGTGCCCAAAAGCTAACCTACCCTGTGCTCCAGCTACACGGACAACGGCGGTTCGACCCTCGCCATCGCCGGCGCCGATTTCGCCATCGTAGCCGGCGACACCCGTAGCACTTCAGGCTACAGCATCAACTCCAGATACACACCCAAGGTCTTCAAGATCGGCGGCACCACCTCAACACAAGAAGATGCGACAATCATGCTCTCCGTCGTCGGTTTCGCTGCCGACGGCGAGGCCTTCAAGGACCGCCTCGACACTATCTGCAAGATCTACCGCTACCGCCACGGCAAGCCCATGAGCGTCACAGCCTGCGCGAAGCGTCTCTCGACGATCCTCTACCAGAAGCGCTTCTTTCCCTACTACGTCTACGCCATCCTTGGCGGTCTTGACGAGGAGGGTGTCGGCGCCGTCTTCTCCTACGACCCCGTCGGAAGTTACGAGAGAGAGCAGTCCCGCGCCGGTGGTGCCGCCGCCAGCTTGATCACACCGTTCCTCGACAACCAGGTCAACTTCAAGAACCAGTACGTGCCGGGCAGCGGTGTGGGTCACGAGCTGCAGGAGCGTCCCCGCGTTCCCCTGGAGCGCAAGGAGGCCGAGATCCTGGTCAAGGATGCGTTTGACGGAGCGGTCGAGAGACACATTGAGGTCGGTGACCACCTGCAAATGATGGTCATCACCAAGAACGGCATCGAGGAGGTCCTTCTCCCCTTGAAGAAGGATTAAGGGCATGACGGGATTTGGGAAGTGTTGCGGTTGGGGTGGCGTTGTACAATACAGACAGGTAGCAATGCCAAAGAGGCACTTGTTCAGCTGATCAATCACTGTACGCGGTTCAATCTTAAGCCCGCGTATTCACAGCAAACCAAAGTCCCCTTGGCAACTCATGCTGGCAGTTCCCCTGTGAATCTCAAGCTGCGAGGCTATCTAGAAGATCTGGTAGGTCGTTCATTCTGCCCTTGGACAATCATGGGGGAAATAGAGGAATGCAGGCAGGGATATCTCATTTCGCCTCGCAGGACGCATCGGCTCCCCAGGACGAACCGATAGTCTTTGACCCCTTTTCTGCTGCATGTGATGCCACACAGCTCCGCGGCATGCCCTAGGCCATAGACCAAGGGGAAGGAAGTCTAACAGGGACGAGTACGAATACGGAATGAACGCATCGAATGCTTCAATGTTCCAACATCTCCCTTTGGGAGAACCACACCCATCATCACTTGACGTTGGATGATATCTGGTGCTTTACTCTGCAAGACTTGCGTCCATCGCGCCAGCGAATCAGACGTAGCACGTCCGCTTCGCTTTTTTTTTGCGCATTACAGCTGTGTTCTGGGCATGCGGCAATCCCTTCATCTATCTCGCACTGCCATCCGTACTTGGTAAGCTAGACGTCTTGAGAAGAGCGAGCCGTTCCAAACCGTCTGCCATGGGTAGGCAAAGCCTAGCTTATTGATCCAATCCAGGTCCAGATCCAGGTCCAGGCTCCAGGTTCCAGAAACGGCACTAAGCGCAGCAGGCGAAGTCGGGCAGAGGGAAAGGAAGGACATCGCGGACGGGTATTGGACGTTGGGCCGCCCGTTCCTGTCAGACTACGGGTACGGGCTGGACCGAGTTAGCGAGGGCACGAAGGCAAGGAGGCTCTTTGGGGGGTACCACGGACGGATAGGTAGAGCAAGTGGCGAAATACCGCGTACTCGGCGCCCACCCCGTTTGAGATAACCGCCTGGTAGGGCCTGGTTTTGCCTCTGTCTGTCACCTAAGTCTGTCTGCCTATGAGATCTATGAGAGTGTCTCTCCAGCGAGAGAGATAGAGAGCACAGCCACGCCAAAGGAAGCCGGGTAGAGCCCTTCCCCAGCCTTTGTGATCCGGGATGTCGGTAGCGAAACGGTCTTAGACGCCCCGAGGGGAGCTATCACAGGGCAGCGGAAAGGCCGGGTCAACCGTATCAAAAGGGCCTCCGGAAGATTCTGGAAGTTGGAGCCTTTGCCAGGGGGTTAGATGAATCAAAACCGCGAGCACCGAATCGCTTGGCGCGTGATACTGCATAACGACAGACATTCCTCTCATCGGAAAGCTGTTGTACGGGGTATCATTGGTAGCTTGAACGAAGCAAGACTGCAGCTTCCAGCCCCCCCCCCCCGGCCTTGCAACCACCTGACCCGCGCCGGGGCTATCGGGGAGGCCACCCGAGCAAAGGAGCTCTCTACATTTTCTTGCCTGTCATTGCCACAATTGTACGATACAAGGTTATTGGCCTCTTGAGCTACTTTACTGTACGACTGTACTAAGGGACCGCCTAGGGCTGGAAGGCGGGCTATTGACAGCTAACGTCGAACGACTGATTCGTAATCTAGCATAAGCTTCTCCTCTTCAGACGCAATGCCGCTACTGGCCCAGAGAGTTTCGAGATGCGATCGTCGTCGGAAGCTTACTCTCCAAAAGGTATCCTCCAAACCCCACCACCACCGCCGCCTACAAAGCCACCAGGCACCGCCGAACAATCTCAGCTTTCATCGAAACGGGTGGTCTGTTTGCCACTGGAGACGTATGCTAATCCTCCAGTGGTGAAGAAGGGACGGACCATGGGCCAGGACGTCGCAGGCCTGGAGAGCTGAACCCTTGTTGCATTGCCGATGAGCATTACAGGGAATCTTTCGTCTTAATACAACCTCAATGGGCTGGAGCTTGGCGAGAGAGGCGTGTCACTCCAAGACGGGAAAAAAGCATCTTATCTTCGGTCCATGCCGATTGTGGAGAGGATGCCGATATGACGGTATTGGAGAGGGGAATGGCTAGTTCTCGGCAGATCAGGGGATTTGCCATCTCGAGAATAGCCATTACGCGTGATTACGTCAGTCACATTGCCATTTCCAGTTGAGATGAGTTTATATAGATACATCAAATGGTCGATGTAAATCGTCGTCAATCGTCGTCAGATGTGCATGGGATGTACAGATAATCGTTGCGTATTTGGGCTAGACGTGGCTGATGTTGCATCTGGTGTGTGGCTTGTAACGGCAAGGGTCGCTGATGTGGTTACACACACTAACATCATCGTCCAGGGCTTCGGAGACAGCTCCTCCAACGAAATCAAGTCTGCTACTGTGCAGCCGGGGAGTCTCAAGTTTCTGTTAGGCGCTAGGCGTGTCGACATGGACCACCTGGCGAACGATATCTCACACAATCCTTTGAAGCGACAGATTATGCGTCGCCACCGCGGCGCACGGTCGAGACCAAGTCAGATGGCGATGCACAGAACTGTCAAAGTCGTCAATTCAAGTCGACGTCCAGTGACAAGTGTAGAACTCAATGGCTTGGACGACAGCCTCTGTAGCTCGGTCATTTTGAACCGAACAAGCACTGACGTTGAAAGCTGTCGGCCCGACTGCACTAAGCGGAATATGGTTCTGGTTGCGAAGAAACGAGGCTTCGACTTGTGAAGTAGAAGACCGCACTTGCGTGTCCTACGTCCGAGAGTCGAATTATATGTCAAGGCGATGTCACCTGTATGTTCTTGTCTCGAGTGGCTGCTTCTCTCCATGCAATCGCGGCGACTGGCCAAGTGTCCAAGTGCCTCAGCTACCATGTTGGCGAGAGGGAGTGCTGAAGTCTGAGCCGCCTGGTTACCAGCGTCTTTGGCTGATCATCATTTGAGGCTGCTGTGTTTTGTCATTGACATGGGATATGCCGCTGCACCAATCTTCGAGTGACGGATTTCAAACCAACCACTGGAGCCACTCCGACAAGTTGATGAGGTTATGCCGCGCCAAGGTGATGCGGAACGCAACGACTTTGTGTTAGTCTCTCGGTCGAATGCCGTTCTCCTTTCATCTGCACCGGGCCACTGTAGACTGCATTAGCCAACTCATTTGTGTCCCGTAACGGCAGACTAGCTGCGGAGAAAGCTGCCAGACCAGCCTTAGCGGCTGAAGACAAAGCGCCGCGGCCGTGAAGGCGAGGTCTCTGGTGCTGGTCGTCAATGAAGCTGAACCTAGATCGGCCAGGCCTTCAGATGTCTGATGCGCTCAGCCATGTGGGCGTTTTCTTCTCCAGATATTGATGGCTCGCGCAAGCACACCTGAAGTGCCTGGCCATCAGTAGAGCGCCGCATCATGTCCGGATAGGTTATTGACCATGGCACTTCGGGTGGCATGTTTCCGGGGTCGGGGTGCAAGAAGGACCCTCAATGTTACTGCTTGGACGGGTTCTAGCCATGCGTGCCATGATCTCACCCCCGGATCATAATGTGGTAGCAGTGACGATTTTCGGAGGATGCGTGCCACATGCAACGCAGATCTCGGTGCGGATGGGGTAAAGGATCGGCGCCGGTCAAGCTGGAGCCTTGGTCAGTTGTGGCGAAACTCCGACCGGCAAGCCGCAATACTCGGCCGCGCGGTTTCTCTGGCGTCAAACGGCAGTTTGGCATGCTCGCATCCTTGGACGGCGTGCGCCGTGGATTTTTTCTGCTTTTCTGGTTCATTTCCACCTCCGGCGGCCCCGCGTTCCTGGTGAACCCCATTTGAAGCATATTGCGATGGCCCGGAGAGTGATTGGATCTCGGCCAAATTGCCAGAGATGTTAGTGCAGGCAGGTTGTATACAAGTAATGACCGAATACTTGGCCCGGAGAGGAACTTCCGGCTGTCACAAGTTTGGATAGATGCACTAGACTTGCCACGATTAACTGGACCCAGATGGTTGCGGTGGACGGGTAAGGGTCCTGTTGCTCAGGCACAGGGTTCGGGCGATGACTCGGGCTGTCGGGGTTGGCGCCGGAGAGGTGTATCTAGGTGAAAGAAACGATGAGATTGGACAATGGCTTGACGGGTGACTGGCTGCGAGTGCCGTAAGAAAGCTTCCCAACAAGCTTGAGACAGGCCTTTTTGCCACAAGCATTCGAGATGGTTGCGGGAGAAGGAAAAATGCTGCCGCTGCAGGCTTTCGTGTTGCCAATTGGCGTCAATGAAGGGATCAGGCCTGCTGGCGAGGAGAGGAGGAGACCTCCAAGGGCAGTGGGGGGGGACGCAATGCAAGTGGAGGTCTGAGAAAAAATCGAAAAGTTTGGAGAATCCCATGTTGACGGTGCCGTCAAAATTTGGCGCGGCGGCTTTGGATAGTCGTGGTTGCAAAAGATTTCGGGTAAGGGGACCGGGGGGGGGCCTTCCCGAGTACCTCTCCAGGTACCTGCTCTGTACGGTGCAAGGCACGTATCCAAAGTACTTACCTTACCTACCTATGAGGTAAGTAAGGTAGGTAGTCTCCAATGTCACAGCAAGCAGACTGGAGCAATACTTCAAGGAGGAAGGAGCCGAGAGATATGCGGCGAGGCGAGGCGAGGCAAGGCGAGACAATTGACAGTTGGAACCTGGTGGGAAGGAGGAACAAGGCAAATAGCAGGGACAAACTTGGTCATGTCAGCTTACCCAGGGAAAGTGCCTATCCGTAAGGTGAGGTAGCCAAGACGATGCAAACAAGCACCGGTGGCCCCCAAACTCTAAGGTATCACTCCAAGGTACCCAAGGTATCTGTGTGTATGACCTTATTCCCATTTGGCCCAATAGAATACTCAATCGAACATCGAGTTTTTGGACCCTGAAAACCACTTGTGAAGCTGACTCCATGTCCAGCAATGCTAGAGAGAGATACCCAAGGTGCCAAGATACCTTCCGTCCTGGAGGGTTGAAGTCGCAGTCTGCAAATTGGCATTACTCGGAGACACTCCGGTAAGAGACCGAGCTCCTCAAGACAGAGTTTTTCCAATGCTCCAAGTCTCCATCTCATGGAGTCATGATGCTTGGACCCTTGAAGTGGAAGGTGGAAGGGGAACAAGAACCAGCGGGAATGGATTTGCACACTTGCGTGTAATGTCACGGTGCAGTTCTTTCCTTGGCCTTGAACCCTCCAAGTTGGAGCGTGGGGCAGAATAGCGGAGCAGGTGGGGTTCCTTCCAGACCGATTTCCCACTGTGGGCGAGGCGACAGCTGCGCATTGCGGTCGGTGTCGGATCAGTCACCAACTCACCATCACCTCAGACTCAAGTTCACTCTACGTAACTGTGAAGTTTCCCGTTTCCGCCACAGCCCCTGTCCACGACTCCAGCCTCCTCCTCATCTCACTCCTCCACTACTCCCCCCGTCTACTTGGAATGTCCACACTTCGGCTTCCGTCCAAACCGCCAAACCGCTCAGACAAAGGACCGCCGGCGGCTCACTATGGCATCCTACCGCGTCAAGCACGCTGACAAGTGACAGTGGACTGGACGTGGGGTGAACCGCGCGGGCTCCATACTACCACTACCTACACATACACAATCGCGATTCGCGATTGAACCACGGCTACTGGTCAGCGGCACCAACGCCGTGCCCCGTACCGCTGCAAATCTTTACTCCAAGGCTCCAACTTCTCGATTGTCTCGTTGGTCTCGTTACTCCCGACTCGTCGCACACTCTCCGACGCGATGGAGTTGTCTGATCCCCCAACTCCTCCATCGTTGTCTCTCGCTGGCACTGTACGAGTCCACTCGGTCATCTATGATACTCCGACGTTCAAACGTCTCCAACCGAGGCACACTCGGCCTACCTCGACGGCCACTTTCAGCCTTCCACCTGATACTCCGGCTCCGGGGTTGGTCCAGCCCTCGTGTACTCCCGCTTCCTCTCTTCATCTACCAAGCTTTCGTAGCATATCTTTCACCATCGATTGCGATATTCGACAGCGGTCAATCGATGTCTGTGCCACCTTTTGCCCCAACCACGTGGATTTGGACGCTTGGCCGGCTTACCTTACTACAATTTACCACTGCCGTTGGCGAGCCGGAGAAACAACTTTTGGGGGCTGTGGAATGATCAGACCACCAATGGGCCGAGGGCCCGCGTTAACCTACAGGCCTCTCTTGCCCAGAGATCATCCAGATGTGCTGGGCGTGTTACAACTTGCGGGTTATCTGGGTAAGGGGAGAATGGTCTAGACCACCGGTCTCCCCGCACAATGTCTCCCTCGTGCGGCTCACAGCCAACCCAACTTGTGCTGCAATTTGAGCCTCTTACATTCTTAGCGCGACGCTTCCCAAGTCTGATATCTTTTGTTGCTTTGTTACTGGACGGCCATGCAGTCTGGGGCCTTAGACGGGAGGAGGGCGGATTTCTCGATGCAGCCCTCGATCCACAGCGAATGGATAAATCTGCCAGACATTTCGACCCCTTTCACGCCCTTGTCCTCAACCACTTGTACTGTGTTTCGCGCTGGAAATTTTAAGTCGTCACGGTCGTCTGCGTTCCTGACAGCCAACTGACGCCTGGACACTACAGCAAGGCCTTGGTTGAAAAGGGTAGATGTTCCGGCACCGATGGGAGAGACTGGCCTGAAGTGCCTCAGGGCAGATTCTTGCAAGCGCGACACTGAACATCTTTCCAAGCTGAAAGAACACTCAATTTGCTGCGACCGTTACGGTCATATACGTCATGACTTTTCGAAATGTGACGGCGAAGCTCGTCGAGCCGTTGATCCTGGGCAAGCGGCCACTGAGCCAGTAGGTAGGCGTCACAGGCCTTATTTCAAATTGCCATGCCCATGCCTTGAGGCAGAAATGAGACATGAGACTATCCTCCATGCCTCACACCAGTGTAGCTTGGTCAGAAGGGATGGGTCTCGCCAACACAAACGCTGTACGGATACGTAGGCATAGTAGGCGCACGTTTCCTCTAACCACTCCACCGCCGATGCTGAATAGCTCACTCTCTGAATTACACCTGCTATTGGCCTCGGAAGCGCATAGCCGCCCCCAGATCACCAGTTGAGCACGTTGCTCGTTACCCAAACTCAAGTCAGGGTGATGCGAGGGCGGGGGTACGGCAAGCTGAAGCTTAACGCCAATTGGGCAAAGCTGGAGATGTAGGGCGAAGTTTAGGGACCTGGACCAGGAGATGCGGTTGTGGGCTCCAGTATCAGCAGCCCAATGCTTCCTTTTTCCTTTGCAACTGGGTGCTGTACTCTGTATGAGTACCGCATGATCCCGTGTCGCAGCTGCGCAGCAGTAGGTACCCAACGCCAAACTAACAAGCCCAAAAGCGAAGAAAAAGAAATGAAAAGCAGTCAACGATCTGTTGAAGGGCCTCGAGGATTCCGATGCTTTGCTGCGTTGACACTACGAATAGCAGGGGGTTGATCATCTATTGATAGTACACAGCTGCGAATGCGATGCCTATTAGTCATGTACCCGCCACCCGCCTGGCACGCCTTGTTTAGAATTTGAGGCTAGCGATCCATCAAGTGATGGGGAAAAGCCAACGTCAGTCAAGAAGAAGACGCCAAAGCAGGAAGATAAAAAAGTTTGAATTGCAGGGAGCACATGGAGCTCATGGAAATACGACGTATACCTAGGTACGTGAACGTATAGATAGTAGGTGCGGTTGTACCTGTCCCCTGTACACTGGATGTACCGCGCCGAGTACCTCAAGCGATACGTACCGGGAGGCGACTTTGGGCGACCGGGGGAGGCCCAGGACCAATGTGGCTGGGCGTCCGGGCCAGACACGGGACTAACAAGACACCAAGACCAGAGCGAGATCGAACAAGTGGGCGAGCAAGCGCGGTCCCTGTCTCTCGTTCTTCTTTTCTGGGGCTCTTGTTCTTTCCTCCCCCATCCCCTTGCACCTTTTTGAAAATGATCTTGAAATCTTTAAACAGTCGGCAGGCAGGCAGGACAAGCAGGGCAGGTCAAGTCGGCACGTTGTAGTACTTGGCAGCAGGAAGGATAGCACGAGAGAGGAGCGCGGAAGCAGCCACAGACCACAGGCCACGGTACCTTTCCTTACCTTCTCGCGCTACGGATACTTACGACTTGCTACTTGGCTACGTACTCGGACACAGAATGCTTCCCCTTCCTGACTCTGGAAAGTGGCTCGGCGGGTCGAGTGGCGAATGCAATGGAAGACTGGGTCGCTGTCCATTGGATTCCTCCACCTGCCGCCCTGCTCGTCTGTCCTCTGTCACTCTGTTCTGCTTTGCTCTGTTCTGCGCTTCGCTCTCTCTTTCTCATCAGCCCATCCAAGGTATTCGCTACCTATCTTCTTGACGTCTCCATCTGTACTGAGGTTGTCTCATACTTACCTAGTCGATCTGTCGATACCTGTATCATTATTTCATGTCATCATTGAGCTACGATTGTCTAGACCAAATAAGGTGCCTGATAGGTGGACAGTTCTCTTCCTCTGTTTCTATCTCACCATCTCTTACACATTATTCACACATACACACACACACACACTCTCTCTCTCTCTTTCTCTCTCTATTCCTCGCTCTCCGCAGTTTCCGCCTTCATCGTGATTCGATAACTCTCGTACTTGAGTGCCCATGCTGTCGTATTCATCATAAAAACAAGACTTCCATCTACAAGTCCATCCCTGTTGACACAAGGTGACAAGCTACTTTCGTCTAGTTTAGTTCGAGGCCCGGCCAAGTGGGAGGGCCACCCGACCACATCTGTGTCCCTTGCACATCTCAGAGCGGCAGCCAAGAACCGAAGAAAAAAATCCCATCTTTCTTCATCCAATTTGATGCTACTGGTTCCAGAACGGGCACCTGGCCATGCACATCAGTTCGTTCCCACATCATGGATGCTCCCCTTACCCGCATCGCCCCTTCTACCGCCACCCCCTCCTTACGGTGTGCGGTGTGCCCTCTTGCTCTTCCTCCTCATCGATCCTCAATACTCATCCCTACCTCTTCCCCATTCCATCTGGGCTGGCCAGGCCTAAGAGCAAGACCCTCTACTTCTGTACCTCTGTGCCTCTCCCTCTCTCTCTCATCCTTTGCCAATTCTATCCCACGAAGCGGGAAGCTGTGGCTCTGTCTGTTCATCTCTGTCTCTCCATCTCCAATTGCACTGCTTTTTCCTCTGCTCCTTGGCTTCTCACTCACACACACACAAATACACTTACACTTACACGCCTCTCCCCTCTAAACCCACCCCTCCTCGAACGCCACTTAACCCACTGTCTGGCCCGGTCGTTTCCCTCTCGCCTTACCCGTCGCTCACCCAGACTCGACTCTCGACTCGTCCTGTCTTCTCTCTCCCAACAGCCTCGGTGTAGTGTAGTCGGGCAGTCCTCTCTTGCTCATCAGCACTGCCATCTCGGCCTCTTCCTGGTGGTATCTCTGAAAAGAAAAGGTGCGACACATACACCACGGCAACAACGGACGCATAGCGGCGAAGTGGTTGCCGCCTACATCTCGGAGCCCTCCTCAAGTCGGCCAACGGCGCAATCTTGGAACCCACCTCCAGTGCTTCAGTACCTCCTCGACAGCTCCCCCGAGCTCGAAACTGTGGGCATTATCCTGCACCATCTACACTACTTCAGTACGTGCGTTTTTGGCATCCCACAACTCCTCCAACGTTTTCTCTCAAACCCCTACGCCTCAGTCGCCGCTTGCCCATAGCTTTCATATTGCTCAACAAGCAACTAGGATTCTTAGAGCCTCCACATTCTGCTTGCTTGTGCAAGATACCCGGCCCTTGGGTTTTGGCCACCATCCTGTCGGTAACTCGTCACCTTCCTTGTGCTGCTATTCCATGCCTTTCTCTTTTTACTGCCCGGATCTCATGATAGCCGTTGCCTTCTTTCTTCCATAAATATCATTGGGCATTGGGTGAAGAGGCACTCTTAGTGTCTCCTTCATCACGCAGCTACCACAGCAACCTCTAACTGGTACGCCAGGACTATTCTGTCTAACCTCGCTTACGTTGACTTGGTTTTTTTCAACCGGTCGAGTCTCGTCTTGCCACTGGGGGCATCTCAGTCGTCAACTCTCCATACTCCTTTATTCCCTTGGATCGCACTGGATTGGACGTCCTCTCCCGCGCAACACCATATCGTCACTTTAACTTGGATTCATCTATTCGTCAAAGTCCCGGGCTCGCATTCGTCTTACAGCATTGCATTCGCAACTCGTAGAATATCGATCTACCAGTACAGAGTCACCCCTGTGTCGGCGCCCCGAAGTTCAGGTAAGAGACAGCCCTCGTTTAGTGGCAACCGCACCATACTGAAGCCGCACCTCTCCACACGATATGCATGCCTGGAGTTCCCTAACCTAGCCCCTCGCGTCTCGTTTCTTCGTCCTTCCCGTCATCTTCGGCAGCTCCCCCCCTTCACCCCGGTACCAAAGACTACGCAGTCCCCCCTGCTTCGGGCTCTTCTCTGCATTGGTATTGGACGCCCAGACGAGCTGATCGCCTTCTAGGAATTTCATTGAGCCACACATCGCACGCGCTCCTTCCTGAGCAGGGTTAACTGCCACATATACCCTTGGGCGCTCGGAAGCGTGACTTTCCAGAGAGAAGCCCCCCTTTCCTTCAAAGGCTGTGCAAACTAGCCACATTGGCCACAACGTGGGCTTTCACTCATCTACCGCAAATAGCTCAATCTCGTTGTGGCGCCTAGAATCATACATACTTCCCGTCACATCCTGACCGTCTCTCCTCTCGTCTGGGTTTTGCTCCGTTAGAGCTGTCAGTCGACCCAGAGCTCCGGGGGCTTGGACTAGTGCTTCGCCGAAGGTATAAACTACTAGATAAACCTCAGTCTGGCTTGCTGGCGCCGTTGGTCCCGGCCGCCGACGTTTGGGCATTTTGCTAACTCGATTACGACAGTTTGTGGGCGGCTTAAACTCCGATACAGCGCGCACCATCACCATACAAATGGGAGATGTTCAGTCCCCTCCCAAGGTCACCGAGTATCCTATTGTGGACTCTCACCAGGGCGTAAACGCAAACGTTACGAGTGTTTCGCCGATTTATCTAGACGAGAAGTCGAGAATGGAAGCTCAAGGCATCCCCCATCCGCAGCATCAGCAGTACGGCCCTCCGCAACATGCCTTTTCGTCTCAGCTCGACATGGCTCAGCAGCCCGCAGCCGCTCGCCCCGGCAATTTCAACATGAACAACATGGCGAACGCGCTGCCCCAGCCAAACATGAGGCATGGGCATTACGTGCCTGGTGGCCAGCCGCAGCATCAACAGCAGCGATTTAGCCCGGCTACATCCTCGCCTTCGATGATGCCGCAGATGCCACAGATGGCTCCTCAGTATCCTGGCCAAGGCGCGATGTCCATGGGAAATCCGCAATACTACATGCCGCAGCACCATCAGATGCAGCACTACTACACCAACCAGCTCTCTCCGACTCAGCAGCAAGTTCGCCCAAACATGGGATACTACCCGAACCAGATGGTTATGAACCACCCGCAGCATAATCAGATCCCTCAAGGGTATTACTATCCTCCAGCTGGCCACTACTCCCAGAGCCAAGCTCTTCACAACCCCATGGTCTCGGCACAGTACATGGGAGCGAACACCGGGCACAGTGACCCTAGGGTCATGCCTCAAATGCCCAACGGACTCGACCCTAGCGGTATGAACGCTCCTTCAAGCCACAGGTCAAGCGGTATTGCACGCCCAGTGCCAACGTGTGAGAGAAGCATCACTGACCGAATTGTAGATGTGGGTGAGGGCCGGTCCGGGGTTGTACGCGGGCCACCGCGAAAACCGCGCCAAAGTGGTTGGTCTTCCTGCAATTCGAAAAGCAAAACTTGCTCGCTGACAACGTTATCAGGACATGCGATCTGGGTTGGAAATCTTCCGCCTCAAACCGACCTCATGAACCTCGTCCACCACGTGTGCAAGGAAGCGAACGGTCTTGAGTCCCTGTTCTTGATATCGAAGAGTAACTGTGCATTCGCCAACTTCAAAGACGAACAAACATGCGTGACAGCTCAACAAAAGCTACACGATTCCAAATTTCAGTCCGTTCGACTGGTCAGCCGCTTGCGCAAGAGCACTGTCGAAGGCGCAACAGGTGTCACAGCACCTACAGGCCCAGCGGCCTCTTCTGGATCGCAAACGCCTCACGACGTTGCTGCACCGCCAAGCGCTACTGAAGCCACCACCGAAGTCGCAGTGGCAGAGTCCAATGACGTCAAGCCCGTCGCCGCAGTAGAAGCAACATCTCAGAAGGACAAGTTCTTCATCCTGAAAAGTCTGACTGTGGAGGATCTCGAGCTCAGCGTCAGGACGGGGATCTGGGCGACCCAGTCTCACAACGAGGATACACTGAATGCTGCTTTCAATGTAAGCAGCATCATGAAGGTCTAGTCTTGCATCTCTAACTTATTTCTATAGGCCGTCGACAACGTCTACTTGGTATTTTCTGCGAACAAATCGGGCGAATATTTCGGATACGCGAGAATGACTTCTCAAATTAACGAAGACCCGGACGCCGCGATCGAGTTTGCCCCCAAAGCACAGTCAGCTAACGACGCCGACTTGCCGAAGGCAATTCCTACCGAACCCACAGAATACGCGCCCAAGGGCAGGATCATTGACGACTCGGCCCGGGGCACCATTTTCTGGGAAGCAGAGCGCGAGGACGGAGAAAGCGGTGACGAGGAAGAGGAAACCGAGGTAGAACAAAGCGATGCGAGCAGCCGTAAGAGCGGGAATCAAGAAGGCGATGGTAACACCAAGGCTTGGGGGAAGCCCTTCAAACTCGAATGGCTGTCGACGGCACGACTGCCATTTTACCGTACCAGGGGTCTTCGTAATCCATGGAACTCGAACCGCGAGGTCAAGATCGCGAGAGACGGCACCGAGCTGGAACCTTCCGTCGGAAGAAGGCTGATCGGGCTCTTCAATAGAGTCCAGAGTCCTGGCCCAGGATCAGTGCCGGCCATGCGGCCCGGAATGGCGATGATCGCAGGATATCCGCCCATGAGGCCACAATATCAACAATAACCGGCACTGGCATTACTGGCGACATGGCCAGGACTTCTCTTCTCAGGCATTAGTTGATTTGGATCCGGACTCTGTGGTTTACGATCGGTTGGACATGTTTTTACGACAACAGCCGCATATGCAGGCCATGGCGAGCGCTGAGATGGTTGGTTATCTGGATGCTGCTTCTCAATGTACCTAATCTGGCTGTATAATTCTACGAAAGAGTTTGGTGTATATTGCTCATGATTTTGGAGTTGAAGCGGCGTCGCCTGGGCGATATGACAGCTACCGGGAGAGTTGGGGCGGATGGACCGGTCAACTGAGCAGATTTTCTCCGTTTCCCATATACCGCCCTATGCGTTTGAATTCCCACTTGGTCTGGCGAGATGAAGGCAGAAAGCAGGACTTGAAAAAGTTGGTTAACATGCCATTTCCACTGCGAATCCAAGACATGTCGTCGATCAGCTGTGGCACCTTTCCGGTGGCGACATCCACATTGTGGCTTGACCCTGGAAGGGATGAACCCGGACGAGCGTCGGGATCACGACTCGAACTGCGACCTCAAACCTTAATTGGCAAGGTTTCCTCGTCGCATGGCTCACCAGGCGCGTATCATTCGATTGCCGGTTTCTTGTTACTTGGAATTGATGTCAAGATGCGCGAATTGTCCACACAGTTGATCACGGAATTTCTGTGGGATCGACTGCAACATGTGACCTTTCAGTCAAACTCAATTCGATGTTGGGGTTCGTCGAAAAGTGAAGCTAGCGCGGATGATGTACCGTTGCAATTGAGTGGGCAACTGTCAGATTTTACCGTCAAGGGTACGGAGTGACCACCATCTTCAATTGAATCCATGGTACGGACCTTGAATTCCTGCCACTTATTTTTCGTGGTATCCGTACGAAATCGATATCATGTCCAAGATTCTGCGGCGGGGGTGGTATAATTGCGACGGGACGATTACTGAGGGTCTCCGTCTTTGGAGTGAGGCGAACGTTTTCCCCCACGTTATGAGGTACACTACCGCACTACCAGGACCACTGTATTGTGAAAGACCAAACCCCAGAGGCCCGGAGATGCTACGCTGTGCGGGCTTGACGTATCCGCAGGTTCTCTACTTAAAGCAGGTAGGAGCTTGACTCAGCTATACCGTAGGCTCCCATCGGCATCGGCTCCTCCTTCTCAAACAGCCTGCTGCATTGCAATCTTTTCCCTCTCAATCCCCCCCCCCCTCTCTCTCTCTCTCTCTCACTCTCTCTCTCTCTCTCACTCTCTCTCCTACCCATGGTCCCATAGAAAGTGGGCATAGATAATTGTGCAACAGGTTTCGCGGGAACCAGACCGGACATGCAGACTAAAACGGGAGTCGCCGTGGGCTGTACCACACTACAAACCCCGATTTGTACGATCCGACACGATGATGGGGATCCCGCGGGCTGGTTTGGAATAAGAGTCTGGACCTGGCCATGGGCGATTGAGAGCCTGGACTCTTTCTTTTCTGTCGGCTCTCTGTCATAGCCAGGTCTGTGTGACTGGGCGGGCTGGGGGACCGGCCGGGGAGGGGGGGGGGGAAGAAGAGGGAAGAGGTGCCACGGCACGGACCATCCGTTTGACGTCAAGAGACGAAATTTGATTGGACAGGCGAAGGATTGCGTCTTGCTGGACCCTTGTCGGAGGCCGAAACTCTAAAAAGTAGGCGAGGTGGATGTACCGCGGCGATTTACAGCGCTTTCGAGAGGTATTCGTCGAAGGTCTGAAGATGCGGTTTCTACCTTATGGATGTTAACTGGTTTATCGTATTGATCAATGGGGAATTGTTGACTGATTGAGGTGGTACAGAGGGAGTTGAATTCACTTGAACGTTTTCTTCTGTGAAAATCAATGGGGTTGAGTTGAGTAATGTATCGCTGCAGGGGTGGCGGAGCCAATGGAAACCGCTGGAAGGTTCCAGCAGCTTCCACGCTCCCGAAGCTACCAGAACCGTCTCTCGTCGTGAGGCTATCGCCATAGAGAAGCTTACAGATCCCTCCAGAACAGGCTTTCACAGCATGCGCGTCCCTTCCTCGGTGTGCGAGTTCATTCTCGAAGGGCCTTGTAGCGGATTCTTTGATTTTTCAGCGATGTTTCCGGAAAGCTTGGGAAGGCACGATGGTGCCTGCTTGAATTGTATAAATCGGTTGTCTTGATCGCCTCTTACATCGATTGCTTCTCATCAGATCAGAACATCAAGAACAACAATAAGCACTCACAGCTACAACTCTCTCAAACACAACATAAAACAACTAGCTCTCGTAACCGCTACAATTTTTCTATTCACAAATCAGTCCACCATACAACCACTTCACACCCTCACAACAACCAACAATATCAACACAATCAAGATGGCTTTCTTCCCCCGCAACTTCTACAACTCCGACGCCTCCTTCACCCCTCTCTTCCGCCTCTTGGAGGACTTTGACAACTACTCCCGCCAAGGCAATGGCACTCCTTCCAGCGGCGCGCGCGGCACCCACCGCAACCACGTCCCGACCTTCCAGCCAAAGTTCGACGTCCGCGAGGTCGAGGACGCCTACGAGCTCCACGGCGAGCTCCCCGGCATGAGCAAGGACGACGTCTCCATCGAGTTCACCGACCCGCACACCCTCCACATCCGCGGCCGCGTCGAGCGGTCCTACACCGCCGGCACCCCACCCGCGGGCCTGCTCCAGTCTTCCGCAACTGAGATGAGCGGCGCCATCGCCGATGGCAGCAACAACGACGCCGCCAGCACCACCACCAGCAGCGCTGAGCGCCCTCGCTCGCCTCACCAGGCTACCGTCGAGGATGAGGAGGACGACGAGACAAACTCCACTGCTCAGCCTACTCCCGCCACCACCGTCGCCGAGGTCGACAAGCCTGCCTCTGCTGTCGCACACCAACACAACCACGCCGCTGCCAAGAAGGAGCCCGTCGACAACGCAAAGTACTGGGTCTCGGAGCGCAGCATCGGCGAGTTCAGCCGGGTCTTCAACTTCCCCGGCCAGATCACGCAGGACGCTGTCTCGGCTGGCTTCAAGGATGGTATCCTTTCCATCCGGGTGCCCAAGGCTCCCAAGCACGAGACTCGTCGCATCTTCATCAACTAAAGACGGACCGTGACACTTCCAATTGTACAACAGCATTAATGAGAACTGAGTGGATAGGAAATGGGACTTTGATGGAGGGATGGGCATTAATGGGTCTTTGCATTGGGATTGGTGTTTCGGGTTTCTTTCTTTCCTTCGCTATCTACTAGCAGTGATAATGAAATAAGTTCAAAAACAAAACGATTGTATCCAGCTATAATTCGTGACTGTCCAATTGTGAACTTAACTGGACTCCAGATGATTGAGCGAGAGTGTTAAGCCCGGGTTTGAGCTGGAAGCTTCGATGCGAAAAGCTATTGCAAGCTCTTGGAAACAGATAGCATTATTGCAGACGGTAAATCAAATGAACCGAAGCCGCGAATGCCTCATTTGAAGATGTCATAATTGGTACTTCCTGCACTGTTACCTTGGGAAGTCTTTGGTGCGTTCGATGAAGGAAGCAAGGAGCGTCTGAGTATGACGCTGACTCCAGGCACACGGTGGGGCCGACCGGCTTCTTAATTGCCGCACGTGATTTGGCGTATTTTGCTGTCAGTCAGTCGCCACCACCAGTCATCCCCGACGCGTCTTAAGAGCCCGCGTTTCGCCCACCATCAACAATTTGGTAATTGTATGAACACCTAACTCGTTTCCCGACGTCCGATTCCGCGCGTGCACTGCTTCCACTTCCCTCGTGTATACTCACCTCGACGTCTCGATCTCATATCTACGAGCACAATGGCCGACGCTGACGGCTATGATGAGAGCCACAATGGCGATGAGAGCGGCATGACCGGGCCTGGCGCGCCCACGCCACTTACTGCGCTCGAGGTAAGCTCAATAATACTTTCTTCATGTCGCACACAGCGTGCTGATGAATACGTCGAAGGGAGTTGCCGGCTTGACGAAGCGCGATATCCAAATGGTCGTCGACGGCGGTTTCAACACCGTAGAATCAGTAGCATATACCCCGCGCCGCATGCTGGAGCAGATCAAAGGCATCTCGGAACAAAAGGCAACCAAGATTCTCGCCGAAGGTATGAAAATCCCAACTGATACATTCGTGCGAATCAATCTGACTGAAGGGAATCAGCCTCGAAACTCGTGCCAATGGGCTTCACGACCGCCACGGAGATGCACCAACGCCGAAGCGAGCTCATCTCTATCACAACTGGCTCCAAGCAGCTGGATACACTTCTCGCCGGTGGTATCGAGACCGGATCGGTGACTGAGCTGTTTGGAGAGTTTCGTACGGGTAAGAGTCAGATTTGCCACACCCTTGCCGTGACATGTCAACTGCCCTTCGACATGGGTGGCGGAGAGGGCAAGTGTCTGTACATTGACACCGAGGGTACCTTCCGACCCGTTCGATTGCTGGCCGTCGCCAACAGATTTGGTCTCTCCGGAGAAGAGGTCCTCGACAACGTGGCCTATGCTCGCGCGTACAATTCAGACCACCAGCTTCAGCTTCTCCAGCAGGCTGGTGCCATGATGTGCGAGACCCGATTCTCGCTCCTCATTGTGGACAGTGCGACGGCGCTCTACAGAACCGACTTCTTGGGCCGAGGTGAACTCTCTTCGAGACAGACTCATCTAGCCAAATTTATGCGCACGCTCCAGCGTCTTGCCGACGAGTTTGGTATTGCTGTGGTCATCACCAACCAAGTTGTCGCACAGGTTGACGGTGGACCGAGTGCCATGTTCAATCCTGACCCCAAGAAACCAATCGGCGGTAACATTATCGCCCACGCAAGTACGACAAGAATCAGCTTGAGGAAGGGTCGAGGCGAGACTCGTGTCGCCAAGATCTACGACAGCCCCTGTTTGCCGGAGAGTGACTGTCTCTTTGCCATCAACGAGGATGGCATCGGTGACCCAAGCCCAAAGGACCTGGAGAAGGAATAGTCTGCGGACATATGGGTACGGGACGACTAGACGAAAGTAGCTTGTGATGGTGTTATGCGCATATGAGTGAGCTTTGATACACCCCCGGGTTGGGAAAGATGGCATGCATTGGTGCTGGCGTTGGGCGGCAATCGTTACACTGGAGTTGTGGTATTTCTGCTGCCAATTGTGCAGATTAGGTGCGGAGCCTTTGCTAGAAACGTAATGAATCGAACTATCTTCGGAAAGTCCCAAGCCTGCCATGAATGCTGACAGATGCACCGTCATTGCTTCCCTCTATCTTTCCTTGCATCCATTCTTTGAGTCTGCACCTTGTGCATGTACCGTGTGAGAACTGTGTACGTGCACTGCAACACTGTATCAAGCTGGTTGCTGTTTTGGGAGTAGCCCCACCGGGCGCGTAGGAGCCTTCAAACTGGAAATTCCATCGACTCAATCGCGACGAACTTTTTGCTGCCACAGATTGCTTAATGCGCCGAGCCCGACCCGCGACTCTCGCGGCCTCTTCCTCTTTCTCATCTACGGCGTTTGAGGATTTCACAGGTTAGGGGCAAATCGAAAATGGATTCCGCCGACACTCAATACTTATACCGAGAGACTCGTCTCAACCTTGAACCGGCCTCCGCCTCGTCAATCATCAACATCCGCGTCCCCTCGCTGACGTCGCACGGGAGGGGCGCGACCCGCAAGCTCACATCCGGCGACAAGAACATCAGCGAAGACGAAGTCAACTTTCGGCTCAAGAACCTCGCTCCCGCTTCGTCCGTCTACCACCGCAAATGGCACGATGCACCGCGCAGCTTCCTCTGGAGGCTGTTGGATGACGGCCTCGTCCTCAGCCTGCGAGTGGTCGACACCTGCCGACAAGAGAAGACGATCGATGCGCCGCTGATTCTCAATTTCCGATTCACGGTGCCGATTCAATCATCCTGCGTTGCGTTCGCCGACCCCCGAGAACACGATGCGCTCTCCATGTTCGTACTCGACGAGGCCAACTGCCTCTACTCCTTCACTCTCCGCCCCGACTTCTTCAGGAAGCGCTCCGCCATCGAGGCCGGCCCAGGAGATGCTTGCAAGGTGTATCAGCCAAAGGTCTTTGGATTCAAACATCCGCATCGCATGGTCGCCGCGAGCACCGATCAAATTGTTATTTCTCTGCACGACGGTGGGCTGGTGAGGTTGGACCGAAATAAGACACAGGATTGTATGTCACTCACCCTGCTGTTACCACACCAAGGGTTCCACACTAACTTTTGCATAGCGACGAGCAACCCGTGGAAGGAGACGATCTATAATTCACAAGGATGGGCGCAGGGCATTCGGAGCTACCTCCCGTTCCAGCAGAACCAGTCTGTCCGATACCGCAACATCCACATGGATGCGAGCGCGGCGACGTCGATACAGGTTACAAACCTGGGCCTTGACGATGCGGCATTCCTCTTTACAGTCTGCCTCGACCACCGCATGCGCATCTGGAACCTGCGGACAGGCCAGATCTTGTTCACCGGCGACATACTGAATTCTGACCGCAACCCACAAGAAGTCGGCAAGTGGCAGATTGAGCCTACACAGACAAATTTGTTGCAGCTGGTCGGCGATGGAACAGGCAGCAGGATGTGCGCCACGTACTCGCCCATTGGAGCTGGAGAGTTCAAGTTCTGGAACATCAAAGCCCGCGACAGCGACACCGTTTACGTAGAAGATGCGTTCCCTGATACCCACCTTACCCCGTCATCACCGTCGCTTTCAGATGTTTGGACCTTGGCGGACTTTGTTCTTTCAACACTGGCAGATGGCGGCATCCAGTTGTGGACATTGTGGAAGAACAATATGACCTACAGAGTCCAAGAGCTGGATCTCAACAGAGACAATATCGCCGAGTCATGGGAAAGCGAATGGGCGTCAGTACACATTGACACAAGTTATCCTACCGCGCCGACCTCCGGATCTTCTGATCCCACGGACCCGACGGAGAAGTGGTTAGATCTTATCCTCGCCCCTGGCCGCTTCACCAAAGCAACCCTCGAAACAGCTCTGTCTATATACGAGAAGGGGCTTTACTCTCAAAAGGAGGGCAGCTCGAAGAGTCAACAAAAGGGCCTGGCAGAGTCAATTTGTTCTGTTCTTGCCTCAACAGCATCATTGGACCGGAACTCGGCTGGCGGTATGGATTATGAGCAATTCCGTGCTAGCAGCGAGACCCAGTGGAGGAGATTCTACCGTCTTCTGATCGAGTTGGACAAGCAACGTGGCGAGGCAGTTGCATTGGTCCTCGACGCAGAATCTGACATGACGTGGGTTGTGTGTGCTGATGCTATCTCCGCCATTAGAGAATGCAGCTCACTGGAGCGGCTGTACTATAACCTCTCGCGACCGGATGAGGCGTCGGAGAGAATAGCAAACCTTGTATCGACGGGAGTCGGTTTCCTCGATGCTATTTCAGACAGTATTCAACAGGTCTGCACTGCCGCTCTGCGACCTGAGATTTACGAGGAGACTCCTCGAACGGACTATGAACGACTCCAATACCTCTTTGACACCACTGCTCTGTGGCGCACCGTCAGTGACGAAGACTGCGCACAGGTCATTGAGAGTCTAGGACAGTCTTATACCGGTGTTACGATGGATCTGTATGAAAGCCTTTCGGGTATAATTGCGGCTACAGAGGACTCCGGAAGCCGCAAAGCCCGTCAGCCGCTGACAGACTTTGGAAGGAAGCTCATTGTCAAGGCTGTTCAGGAGACGATTGATCTGCAATGGAACATCATCTTCAGTCAGGTCCTGCTTCTAGTACACATGGAGTTTGACTGGGATCAAGAGGAGGATATGCTCTCCAAACGAATTGACGTCGGTGCTGTGTTCAGACAGTTCCTCGAGTCACTTCGTCGGTTAGAGCTGCTTCGATGGCTTTCCAAGACGGAAATCACCGTTCCTATTGGCAACAAGAACGAGCGCAACGACTCCTTCTCCGGCTCGCCCAGCACCACAAAGAGGACCGCAGAGGAGACGCAGACCGTCACCGCACTGGAGGGCAATGTCGGTCATCTCCTTGGCTTCGTCGACGGCAGGAACGAGCCTCTGGCTACGAGCATCACAGACATCGTCACGGATCTCTGTGCTTCCAACAGCGATATTGAGGTGTCACCTACTCTAATCCAGTGCTCCCTCATCAGAAGAGAGCGGGCCGATCTTGCTCTTGAACTCACCCCCTACTGCGCCCAGACGCCATTCGCCATCTACATCCAAGGCCGTGTTTTCCTTGCCCTGAAAGACTTTGCTTCGGCCGCCTTCCACTTCCGTAAAGCGGCGATAGGCATGAGTAAGTCGACAGCACCTTAGCTGTGTGGAGAACAAAACTAACGTCAGTGTCAGGTGTCAAAGATGTAGATGTCGACCGACACAGCAGCGGGCTGCTCGACGACACCGAGTGGAACCTGCTCAACAAGGGGCCGGCTAGGTATCACTGCCACGCAGTCGCTCTGTTTGAGAAGGCCAAGGCGTACTCATATGTGATCGAGTTCGCTGGATTAGCAATTCAATACTCACACGCCAGTCCCGAAGCTGCACTGGTCAGAAGCGAGATGCTTAGCCGACAGTTCAATGCGGCGACGGTGCTCTCACGTTTCGACGTCGCCCATGCTAGTCTTCTGGCCATGAAGGACAAAGCAATGCAGCTCTCCTCCCTTCGCAAGCTAGTCGACAAGATGTGCGAATCGTACCACAACAGCGAACTCATGTCGCTGCCGTTCCCGGGTCTACAAGACTCGATCGACGACATCCTAGCACAAAGGTGCAAGGCGACCATGGATGTCCTGAGCGGCATCCCGTATCACCAGATCCTCTATTCCTGGAGAATCAAACACAACGACTACCGCGGCGCCGCCACGGTGCTGCTCGACCGCATCCAAAAACTGCGGCACGCCGGCGAGGGTGACAAGCTCATTGGCGAGGACATTCTCGATACGGCGGTCACGAAGCAGTACCTGCTGCTCATCAACGCCCTCAGCTGCGTCGACCCGAAGCAAGCGTGGATCTTTTCCGAGGAGTTGCCGCCTCCGAGCTCGAGGGAGTCGACGACCTTCCAGGGCAAGCGCGAGGTCGTCACGTTGCCGGACCTGCGCAAGCAATACCAGGACGAACTCGACCGTATCGCGGCCATCCAGAATAATCAGTTTGGTTTCGAGGCTGACGATGCAATGGACATTTTGTAAATGGATGAAATGAGCGAAAGAACAAGATCAAAAAGTTAAAAAAGGCATTGCGGGCCAAGGTGGGGAGGGGGGGGGGGTGGTTACTTCGTAGGGGATGGGGAGAGCATGTGTACAAGTAATCAAGAACGCGCGATCCTGGACCACACAAGAATGATCCGGGACAACCAGATACCTCACGAATTGCAAGCATTGGGTTTTTGTTTTTCGGTAATCGGTCAAGGTAGATGAAGAAGAAGAATTTCATTGTTTGTTGTATCAGTGCAGCAGACCCCAGCTTTGTTTACCCCAAACGCCGTGACCTATGCTTAAAACTACGTGGGACGGACGGTTCTTGACGAGGACTTTATCCTCTCATTGGCGGCAGCAGCCACATCATACATAATAACCTCCCTGCCTCCCCCTTATTTCATCAAACAACTCATTACTTGTAAACCATGGCGTCATTTTTCAGATACTTCTATGCCTGAACAGACTGGCCCATCAACTTTGGGTTCTCGGGAGCGGCGGCCATGATCATGTTAGGACCGGCGGCGGCGTCCGGGGCTTGGCGGTAGAGGATGATTTCCGACTGCTTGAAATACCGCCGTGCATCTAGTGGTTTATTGTTAGCTTGTTTTGGTTCGACCAAAGAAAATGACCAGGGACTGAAGGAGAGGGGAGCTGTGACTTGCCTTCGTCGATGAGCACGAGACTGAGGTAGTACCGGGTTGAGAACTTCTTGTTCACGTCCCGGAACGTGGGTGTCAAGTCGAAGCCGCCGAGGAAGAGGCGGATGGGGATCGTCTCTCCTCTCGAAGGCGAGCCATCCATAATCTTTGTTCCGAGAAAGTCAGTATGCAGAAAACATTGGGGACATGGAGCAGAAGCATTATCGGAGCCGCAATCTCACCTCGAACCGCACCAGGGTCTCGCTCTCATTATACTGATTCGGCGCGGCGCCCGTTGTCTCCCTCCGGATGATGGACAACTCCATGTGTTTTATCTTGAGGCGGACGAGCAAAAAGTATATGCGCCCGACGATGACGTCCTTTAGGTGGTATTTGGATTTGGAGTACTCAAACTCGATGTGGAGGCAGTCCTCGATGCCGACGTCCATCTTGATGGACGAGTTCATCTCGGGGGGTATGCGGTACGAGTAGACCCAAATGTCTTTTTCGCGGATGACATCGGCCATGCGGCGGGAGACGGTAACGCGGACAAAGTAGCGCAGCTTGACGTTGATGCCGTTGTACGACTCGTACTGCTTCTCGACGTTTTTGAAGTTGAAGTCGAACGTCTGCGGGTGCTGCAGCTCGCCGGGGGCCGCGAGCTCCTGGACGAGGGAGAGGAATTCGTAATGGTTTCCACGGTCAAAGAACATTTCTGCGCAGAGAAAAGATGAGAGTGTTAGTATTCGGCGAAAGCGGAAGAGGTTATTAGGGGTCGCTCAGAAAAGACTCACCTATCGTGCCGATGAATTGGACCTTGATGCCGGTGTGTTCTAGCCGCTTGCCGTCCTTGGGTCTGATAGTGACGGCGCCCTTGACGGACTCGCCGTCCATGTACAGCGGCGCCTTCTCGCGCCGATTCTTGTCGAGCTTGACATCGACCATGGACCGCTCGTCGGCGTCCTCTAGCACAATGTCGATGTCGACGGGGGTTGAGAAGAAGTACGACATTTTGGCTTCTGCGGGGGAATGCCCGGATCTCGCGCGACTGTGTCGTTTCGATGCTCGGATATAAAGGGGGCGACGGATTCAAGGTCCCAATGGCTAGTTATCGGTCGGCCCGTCGACGTGAGAGGTTAACAATTAAAAGTGAATTGATATCGGGACGTCGGAGAAGGGGGGTGTCGCGGAGCTTCAAGGCTGACGTATCTGTATCTGTACGTGCACTCACTCGGCTTGCGCTGCTCCAGTTGCGCCAGCCCGGGCAGCTATCGAGAGTGGGCAGCAACTGGAGCTGTCGGAAGTGCATCCTTCCATTGGCTGGGACTGACACGTGACTGTGCCAGGCAGTCATCTTCAGTAATTGCGGCTGGTGACTCCGGAGCTGTGGCTGAAGCTCACCGGCCATGTCCCGGACGGTTTAGGTCCGCCCTGGTCCACAGGCCCCGGGCAGCCGGCCTGTCGGCCAGAAAACCAATTACGCACAGACCATAGTTTTGCCCTCACGTGCACTCAAGCCCTCGCTAGAACTTTTGCACCCCACACCCGAAAATTGAATCGCGACTGCCAGACTCCCCGACTTGGAACTTTTTTGAAAGTGAAGAATTGTCCCTCATCGCCCAACGAACGACCAGTCGCCCAGTAGATCGCCCAGCCGACAGCCCTCCTCCCCCCGACGTCAAGATGAGATACATCCACTCCCAAGAGAGCCTGACGGTTCCCGAGAATGGTATGTGAAGCAATGCCGTCGTCGTCGTCTCCTTGACGATCGATTGAGCACACAAAAACAACGAAAAACTTCCTCCCCCACGATGCGGCCCCCTGCGAGCTCCGCCGGGTTTTGAACTTCACGATACTACATCACCTATCTGTCGCCATTCGCATTTCGAGTCTCTCGCCTTCCTCTGTCATGGTCGCAACCTCGATGCCTATGGCAACATGGTCGCTGGCGCAAAAAAATGGAAAACCACAACCACAACACAATGGCAGAGCGATTGGGGAGGCTTGAGGCGGACAAAGCAACATTTGGGTTTTTGGGTTGAAGAGTTTAGACTGTGGATGAGCTCGAAAGGAGCAGTAGTGGCAGGCAATCGAATGCATGCTGACTTGGATTCTCCAAACAGTCAAGGTTCACATCAAGTCCCGCATCGTCACCGTTGAGGGCCCCCGTGGTAAGTAAAGCACTCTCCTCCGAACGCGATATGTCTCGAGACATTGCGAACGGCCTGCTCCAGCTATCTGTACTCTGCGCAAGCAGAGCGCAGCGGCTTCAGTGCGGCAGCACCCGTCACCAGGCCAATATGGCTAACACCCGTCACCAGGCAAGCTCGTGAAGGACCTGTCCCACTTGGCTGTCAACTTCTCCCAGCCGGTCAAGGGCACCATCAACATTGAGATCCACCACGGCTCAAGAAAGAACGTTGCCACCCTCCGCACCGTCCGCACCCTCATCAACAACCTGATCGTCGGTGTCACCAAGGGCTTCAAGTACAAGATGCGCTACGTCTACGCCCATTTCCCCATCAACGTCAACCTGGAGAAGGACTCCGAGACTGGTCTGTGGGAGGTCGAGATCCGGTATGTCGCAACATCTTATTTTTCCCCCACGTAAACATCAAGGCTAACATGTTCACCTCAGCAACTTCATTGGCGAGAAGCTCGTCCGCAAGGTCATCATGCGCGAGGGCGTCGACGTCGAGGTCTCCAAGGCCCAGAAGGACGAGCTCGTCCTCTTCGGCAACTCCCTCGAGGCTGTCTCCCAGTCCGCTGCCGATATCCAGCAGATCTGCAAGGTCCGCAACAAGGATATCCGTAAGTTCTTGGACGGCATGTACGTCTCCGAGAAGGGCAACATTGAGGAGGAGGCTTAAATGCACATCCACCATCAACGTATGAATCTCTCTCGATGAATCAATAAAAACGAAGGTATTGATTGATGTATGAGCCGGAGGAGGGGAGCAAAACCAAAACAAAAAGGGTCAAAACAGGTCATGTTTTTCGAGGCAAATGCAAAAATCAAACTGGGGTATCTGGGTCTTACACACAAGGCGTGGCCGGGGTTCCATTTTTCACTTTGCATCGTGTAGCGCAGGGCTACCATGAATCACATCAAAAGTCAAGAAGACGTTGCCTGCTCCCCTCTTTGAGCAGTACATCCCACAACACTTCATCATATACCCTACTCGCATGAGACATTCTTCATGGTGAAATGATACCCATTCAAACTTAAACAAACGAACCCTTCCCCAATGGCTGTCATGTGAACCAACGTAGTATATGATACAAAAGTCTTGATAATTATCTGGTGTGACTGAATGACATTATCGACTATGTTGACAGCAGAGTGAGATTTTGTGACGGTGTGGTTCTTAACTCATCTCGTCATCTTGATGAACTTAGAATTCGGCCAAACTTGATCAGAGTATTGCTTCACGAGAGACGTCATCCTCCCGCCGACTATTGACAAACACATACAACAAGCACACAAGCACACAATATCACTTTTTCTCTTCAGATACACGCCACTCACCTTTAGTCCTACACATCAAAACAACAGTCCCAAAGTTCACGACACCAAAAGAGAAGGGAAAAAAAACCTAAACACTCAAAATCAAAAGAATTTGACCAGCCTGGGGGTCGAACCCAGAATCTCCTGATACTTTGTCAACGTTTTCCTCGCCCTAGGCGAACGAGGGTAAACGCAATCGTAGTCAGACGCCTTGCCATTGGGCCAACCGGCCACTAACGAATAGTGGGATGAAGAACAATAGAGCGGAATTCGCTATGTGTTGGCAAATGCTCCACGAGGAGAAAAAAAAATCTCTTTCCCATAGGTGGAGATCTCGCAACGCAGACTTCGACCTAGACCTCGTAGACCCGACACACACGCACATGCAGAGACGTACGCATCAGACGGCCCAAACGCGGAAACACAGACCGCACACGGAAACCTCGTTTTGTTCCATGCATGGTCAAACGCTCTCGCTGTGCGCAAGCGCCGCATGTTCATCTCAACTTTATTGTCTCTTACATGGCTTCCCCGAGAACGCTACAGCATCGCGGCTGCATACGCAATTGAGCTTGAACCAACAACATCAACAGCGCATCAGCAAATAAGTGTGAAGTACTCCGTAAGCCCAATCGAAAATTTAGTTTCCATTCCATGCATTAAGGGCGTCGAAGAATTTCGTCTATGCCATCAAATCGTTCTAAACATCGTACATGCTATGCGGGTTTTGGGGGATGGGTAGACAAAGTGAGCCACACCAAGGAAAATGAAGTAGGAAACGCTCAAGTCCAAAGAGATGATCCTCCTCACATCCCAAACTTCGTGGTCGTTTCCAAACCCCTTCGTCACTCTCCACCCAGTTTTCATATCTCTCGTCGATCTTTCATTCCCCTCTTCGTCGCCGAATGTCTCGTCTCTCGTGCCTTGCAACTTCCATCACCGTGCTATCGGAAGCCCGGCGGGATTATGATGTCCCCCTTAACGCCAAATAGAAAAATAGAAAGCAATAATACCAATTTATGTACGTTCAAAGCATGTTCGGTGCTTCCACCGCCTTGTGAAAAAGGCAGCCGACAGCATATGCAATTCGACCAAGGTCGTGAAAGAACTTGGGGTGCTACCTCCGTGAGTGGCGCGTCGTATGTGTGCCGCGTGTGTGGCCGGTGCGGTGAGTTCTTCCACCCGAGCTAGAGCTGCCTAGGTAGGACGTCAGATCCGATCGATCCCGAGAATCCCATGAAGACTCACTGGGACTTGTCCCCGTGTACGAGTAGTACGAGTCGGTGTAGCTTGACCGAGGCTTGGCCTTTGGCTTGTCCTTCTTAAGATTCAAGAGCGCCAACATGGTCGCTGCGGCGGCTCCCAGGCCCAACCACTTGGCGCCTTCCTTCTTCTCTTCCTTGCGACGAGCAGCCGGGGCTGGACGGCCGCCACCTGCGAACCAGCCGCCGTGCGAGGGGCGACCAGAGTGGGCAGAGGGCATACGGCTGCCGTGACGCGAGTATCTCTCCTCAACCACCTCGACTCGTTCGCGGCTGTGGCTGTGCTCCTTCTTCTTCTTGCCAAAGAGGAGACCCCATAGGCCGCGGGCGATGCAGCAGAAGCAGAGAAGCATGAGAAGACCGAGACCTGCAAGCGTGCCGATGACGATACCAGCAATGGCGCCGCCGCTCAATCCTCCGCCAGTGCCCTCGTCGGTGATGGGTACGACTGTGCCGGTGCTAGTTGCTGAGGCGGCGGTGCCGGTGGCCCCGGTGCTTGTGATGCGGTAAGGAGCAGAGTACTGGGTAGTAATGGTATGGCCTCCCGATGTAATTGTGGTGACACCTCCGCCCCAGCCATCGCGCTGAGCGCATTGCCCTGAGTAGGCACAGTACTGGTAGGCGGCGCAGCAAATGCTGCCACAGGCCGTCTCTCCATCACTCTGAGGGACACAGGTGGCCCCGGTGCCTCCCCCAGCTGCCCCTGTTGTCACTGCAGGCCAGTTTGTGGATATTGTGCTGGTAAAGGTGTTCGTCTCAGTCCATGTCGTGGTGTAAATGCCATAGCCTCCACCTCCGCTCACGGTACTGCAGCCAGCGATGTTGTTAACGGTGTAACACTGCTCTCCAGATCCACAGCAGTACTGGGAGTCGGCTCCGCAACGTTGGACGCAATCGCGCTTCATAAACTGGTCGCCCAGGTGGTAAAAGAGGTTGTTTGCGACATTTTGGAGAGGATAAGGGTGGGCGAACACCGGAGTGGGGGCGGACACCAAGAGAAGAAGGCCGGCGACCAGAGGGGCCGCTGCCGACTGCTTGCGCCGTGCCATTTTTTTCTGGCGGAAACCGCTGCTCGGCGTCGTCAATTGCCAGGAATGCGCGAGGCCGGGAAGACGGCGAAGTAAGAATGTAAGTCGGCTCTCCCCACGATTGCCAATCTTGTCAAGTCAACGGGGATGTCGAGAGGTCCTGTTTTGTTTCGTAGCCTCGTGGGCGCCCCAAAGATTGCGAGAGTGTGGAATGTTGTAGCGGCAGGATGAGGTATTAATGGTTGGCGGGGATTGAAAAGAAGAGGGAGGGTAAGCTGATAGAATGGTCGAGGTGTGATTGAGTGGTCGCGGTGTGAGCTGGCCAACCTTAGCCTGTTAGTATGCAGAGGTATCGGCAGGGACTGAGAGCTTGGAATGTGGTGATTCTTGGATTAGATGGGAAGAAGGAACCAAGAAGTCGGAAAGAATGAAACCTGCAGGTAAGTTTGATTTAAGAGAGACGGAGAGATTGAGAAGGCGCTGACCGACGGGAGTGTCGTATTACTTGGTTCGGGCAGTGGGATTGTCTTTTTTTTTCTTGGCCGTCGCGCGGGTCGATTCCCAACCTCCTTGAAGTCCAACCTCTTGATTTTGCTGCCGCTGTCACCAGGCGCACCCACACTTCTGACACCCACAATACTACCCTCAAATAATGCAAAGTTCCGCAGGGATCTAGCTTCACCGATTAGTTTCTGGCCAATCTCTGATGAGGGTGATTCTGAAGATTCCTCTTGAGTGCGTGATTCCGTCACACTTGCTGCTTCTTTTTCTGTTCTTGTTCCTGAAGATCGGGCGCCGAGATGTGGTTCCCCCTTCACTTAGACCAAGACACCCGGGACAGACGAGGGTTATAAGTGGCCTAGTGCGGGGAGATGCCTGTATGAGTTGGCAGAAACGGGTCGCTACTCGCTGATAGTACGTTCGTGACTGGCCCGGCCCAGAGAGCCTTGGTTCCCACTTGTTTACCTGCAGGGGTCCGTCCGTCCACTGGACGACAATCGATAGGCAGAGAAAGCCTATTCCAACCCGACCCAACTGCACGAATACTCGTGGCCGTAACAATGGAGGTGCGATTGTTTGCCCTGCCGTTTGTCTCTCCCGCCGGGCAGGCCCCGTCAGGTACCGTTTCGCAAGCTTGTCACTCGCAACCGAGTAACGCAGCTAGCGAGCTCCTTCCTTCCTTCCTTCCTTGGCTGGTTTGCCAGAAGCAGGCGATCCGGGCTTACTCTTTGCCATCTGGTGTCTTGCAACCATTGGCAGGGACGCTCGTTAGCCCATCGTGAGCTGCTTCAATGAGATCATGCTCATTTCCGCGCTGTCACGTTAGTCTCCATGTACCTCGGGTCTAGTGAAGTGGTCATGACCTCTCGTGACAGAGGTTTTAGGGCGGAACAAACGGTCTTTGACTCGTATAGGGCAAATTGGCAGCGCCATGACAGCTCTTGCGATGGCTTCTGGCACCACGACGAGATCTCGGCAGGTGTCAGTCCGTGGGTTCCGCAACTTTGACGGCATCAAGTGCAAGTGAGCCCGACCGGCGGGATGGGACTCCGCGGCACCCAGGAGGGGTCATCACCAAGTAGGCCGTCAAGTCCTGGCTAGTGACGCCTTTTTAAGATTCAAGGGACTTCTTTTCCGTATGTGCCTTGCATATTGGCGTGGGCCAGTCTTTGGTACAAGGGTCATTCGTGCAGAGGGAACAAGGAAAGGTGAGCAGTGTTCAGCTTCATCTGGCGAGCCGAGACTCAACGATAGCTGTACTTGGGGAAATCGGGTGGTTGGGAACCGGGGCAACTGGGTCGCAGTGCTAATTGAAGCAACAAAGTGTGTAAGCGGCTAGGAGACTCAGAGACTGTGAGCCAGAGACTGTGAGCCAGAGACTGTGAGCCAGAGACTGTGAGCCAAGCTTTACAATGGATTCAGGTGGAGGGAATTGACGAAATCGCACCGCCACAACGCTCGATCGAGTGGGTCAGCTTCATTGGCCGGGCAGAGCTTTGGTGGGTCAGTGGTAGCTGCCACTTGTGGCTGGTGTAGAAATGGACCTCAAGCCAATCAGATGCCTTCAGCCTGACGCTGTGACTTGAGCAAGGAAGTGACCAAAAACTGGGCGGGCGCGGCTGCGGGCCTGCGGCTGCGGGCCTGCGGCTGCGCCTTGAGAGCATTACGTTCGTCAGACAGCTTCCCGCCGCAACGACCTGCGACCCTCAGCACCGCCGAATCCATCCACGCCGTCCATCCCCAAACCCCTCCTCGGCGACACAGGTGCATCTCCAATCCAAAAAAGCCGCCCGGGTCGCTACTTCCCTCGACTCGCCGCCATGTCTCTCGAACCTCCCACCTACCTGGCCTCGCTGCAGAACAACATTCGCCAGCGGCCAATCCCCTGGGATGGCGCTGTTAGAGCAGGCACCATCACAGAGGACCACCTGGCCCGCATCCGCGCTGTTGATAAGGCGAAGAAGCCCGAAGCTCGGAAGGAGATTGTAGAAGGAGATCTCGATGGCTACCGCTCCCTCTTTGTTGGCGAATCTGGAAAGCCCTCGGTGCTCGAGTCCGCAGGCAAGCAGGCCAATGTCGTCCAGTATATCCTCGTCCTCTTGGCGGACCTCTTGCCCAGTATGTTCTTTGCCATTTTCCATTGATTCGCCAATCCATTACTTTGGCCAGAATCTACCTATCCTGCCCTAGTTTTCCTAGAGATTGATGGTTCTCGACGATCCCTTCATATGCCTCAACCCCGCTAATGCTGTCGTATCTGCAAATAGGTGTACCGTCACTCTCGAAGGCTATTTTCAAAAACACCGACCCCTACAAGCACTTCCTACCTTTGCTCGCCCACTCGAACAATACCGAGGACCCTATCCCCTTGCTCACATCGACGGCTCTGACCAAGCTCATGTCGCTCTCATTGAACGAATCGCAGGCGACCCGAAATGCCATCCCCGTGCTCCTCTCCTATCTATCTGGCCTCGCGAAGAGCTCTGATGCAGGCCTTCAAGATATCGCGGTCCAGGAATACTCCTCCATTCTCTACGGACACGCCGCGAGACAACAATTCTGGAACCAAAGGAGCGAGACGATTGCGCCTCTGATTGATATCCTCAGAACAGCAGCTGGCATTGGCAGCAACGGCAGCTCCTCAGCAAGCATATGGAGTGGAACCGCGCCCACAAGAAACGCCGGATTTGAGGGTTCACTCGGCGGCGGTGTTGGCTTACAGTTGCTCTACCACGTGCTACTGGTTATTTGGCAAATGAGTTTCGAAGCCGAAGATATTGGTGACGAACTTAATGAGTAAGTACACTCTAGTCGTATGGCGTCCACAAACTGATCATCTTTAGCGAGTACGATATTGTCTTGCTGTATACCCAGCTTCTGCGCCTCTCTCCGAAGGAGAAGACAACCAGATTGGTCGTTTCTACCCTTTACAACTTGCTCAACAAGAACCAGAAATCACTCCTCCCTACTGCGGTCCTTGCGCGACTACCTGCGCTGCTTGACAACCTGAGCGGTCGCCACCTGACAGACCCTGACCTACTCGAAGACGCACAAAGTCTCAAGGAACTTCTCGAGGAGTACACCAAGACAAAGACGACCTTTGACGAATACGTTGCTGAGGTCGAGTCTGGCCACCTCCGATGGTCACCGCCTCACAGAAGCCAGGTCTTCTGGGCTGAGAATGCGCGCAAGATTTTGGAGCACGAGAACGGGGCTATTGCGCGCCAGCTTGCCGAGATTATGAAGAAGCCGTGGGAGAATGACAAGGCAGTCCTGGCTATTGCATGCAACGATGTTGGGGCCTTGGTCAAGGAGGTGCCTGAGATGAGATATAAGCTGGAGAAGCTTGGTCTCAAGACCAGAGTTATGGAGCTAATGGGAGAGTCGGACGAGAATGTTCGCTGGGAGAGTCTGAAGGCATTGGGTGGCTGGCTGAAGTACAGCTTTGACAACTAAATTTGTTTCCGGAGCAAGAACAAACAGTAGGGCTATTGGCCCAGGCTCTATGTATGTATAAACGGGGGATAGCATTACCCAGGCAGTTTAGAGTGGACCAGGAGTAGGTCGTTCCCGCATATTCCATTGTTTTTCTCGTTGGTCAACGCTCTCGGCCGAAATCGCGATGTGTACCCGTGGATATCTCGAGTCTGTGGATAGAACACGCCATTCGGGGATGATCAGTCAAGCAGGATACTGGTATTATGACGCGGAGCCAAGGGACAACACCATTGATGAGCATCGTGGGATGCTTCTTTTGGTCCCGGGAAGGGCGATGGAGGCGTACGATGTGCGGATACAGGTGACCGCAAATCCGCGGCGGCGGATAATCACCCGAGGCGGCGAGGCCCGCCGGCCATCTTGACATAGGTACGCAGTTAGGTACTTACCTTAGTACTGGCAATGTCAGGGGTCAATTCGGCCCCCCGTCTCTTGAATTTTCCAGCTAGCCAGCCCAATGGGAAGGGTGGAGCTATGCTTAGGTAGGGAGGTACCTAAAATAAGGGGTGCGTTATGTACTCCGGAGCTTATCATACGGGCGGTACGTGCCCGGCGGGGTTGACGTTTGGCGTGGGGTGGCGCGACTGCGACCCCTCAGTTATTAGTGATTCTAGATCCCAGAATATCCCAGAATGTGGGAAGATCCCAACAGAAACTCCACCCGAAAGAGCTCTCGTGGTTCAGGGTCCATAGCTTACCACAGCTTCCGGTCGCATGTCCGATCGTGTACCCTCCAACCCTTTTCCAAACGCCGAAGAGCCGTTCAGTGCCCACGAACAAAACCAGACACACCCGCTCTCGCATCCGCCGCCCACGCACACCTCTCTCTTTTTTTCCCTTCTCAAACCACCACAAAGGAGACACACACAAACACAAACGAAACTCAACTTTCCCTTTCCTCTTTCTCTCTGTACTCGTTGCCTACTTGCAAAATGGCACCCAAGGCAATCATAGCTCCGTCGATTCTCGCGGCCGACTTTGGCCACTTTGGCCATGCGTGCTCCAAGACCATAGAGCAAGGCGCTGACTGGCTTCACGTCGATATTATGTACGGAGACCATACCCCGCCAGAAAAAAAAATCAGCACACAAGCATCTTGCGACCGCTTTTTTGGAAAGCCGGTCGCAAAAGAATTCTTCCCAGATCCGAGCCGAGCCGTGGCTAACTTACATGATTTTCTTAGGGACGGCCACTTTGTGCCCAACATTTCATGGGGACCCGGTGTTGTCGCCAAGATCAGAGGCCATGTTGAGAAGCCCATCGAGACATGGGGAAAGGGTACATTTGACTGTCATATGATGGTTTCCGAGGTATTTGCTTTCCCGTCATGGTGTGCTTATGCTTTGGGGGATCGCCAAAGGTCCATTTGCGGTAACACGGCATATTACAACACGCCTACTAACGCATCCGTCGATTTAGCCCAAGAAATGGGTCAAGGGCATGAAGGAGGCCGGCGCAGACCTGTACTGCTTCCACTACGAAGCCGCATTTTCTTCCGACTCCGACAATCCAGAGGTCCAGTCCGACGAGAAGACCAACCCCCGCGCCCTGATCCGCTACATTCACGAGCAGGGCATATTAGCCGGCGTGGCTCTGAAGCCCGCAACCTCGGTCGACGTTGTGTGGGAGCTCCTCGAGAGTGAAGACCCACTCGAGAGACCAGACGTGAGTTTTTGCCCTTTTTCTTCTTCTTACGAGCAGCTGTTACACACACCACAAGATGGGGTCTCCGCGAAGGCGCATTAGGCTGACAGGGGTTCTCTCCACAACCACAGATGGTCCTGATCATGACAGTCGAGCCCGGTTTCGGCGGACAGAAATTCATGGCCTCTGAGCTGCCCAAGGTCCAGGCCCTCCGCGAGCGGTACCCGGAGCTCAACATTGAGGTCGACGGCGGCCTGACCGGCTCCACCGTCGGCCAGGCTGCCGACGCGGGCGCCAATGTCATCGTTGCTGGCAGCGCTGTCTTTGGTGCCCAGGACCCCGCAGAGGTCATTAAGGTCCTCAGACAAGCCGTCGAGAAGAAGACCGGCAAGCTCTGAGCTGAGATCGGGATTCGAGTCTCCACTACACCAAAACTCCGACTTTTTCTCTCACGGCCACGTTTTCACGACTTTTTCCTTTTTTTGTTGGTTTTTGTGTCCTCTATGAAAAGCTATGGGAGCCATGATTTATGTTCAGCGTATATAGATATCAGACGGACAGCAACTTTTCGGTGGTATACCGGAGTTACAGGTCTCTCTAATCCTAATTCTACCACATTATACACTACTGATTGGTCTTGTGTTGCAGTGCCTTATCCAAGGCCGCAATAAACCCCTTGATTTCATCAACTACGGCTAATTAGCATAACTCACAGATTGGATAAGGTGCACACTTGACTTACGGCTGTTGTAATGCACCATGCTAACCCGAATAATGCCGTCGGCAGGGTCGAGTTGCAGAATCTCTTTGATCAGCCGGTACGAGTAGAAGTGGCCCCATCGAAAGGCAAACTCGGACTCGTTCTCTACGGCATTGACGAGCTCCTTGGTGCCCCACCCCTGCACTCGGAAGCTGATTGTCGGAACACGGCGGTCGGTACCGGCATCGGTCTCGCCGTAAATCTTCACGTCGCCCCGGCCGTTGAGATACTCGAGCAGAGTAGCCTGGAGCTGCCCCTCTTGCTCAACTTTCCCCTTCCAGCCTTGGGCGTCGGGCGTGCCCAGGTATTCCAGCACCCGCGGGACGGCCGACACCAGCTCGTAGCTACCGCCCGCGAGCCCGAGCTTGCCCTCGAGGGACTCGCTCGGGTTGAAGAAGTGGCCGAGGGAGCGCATGTGCGCGTCCTGCGCGGCGCGACTGGCGTATAGCATGGCCGTGTGCGGGCCGTAGACCTTGTACCACGAAAAGGCGTAAAAGTCGACGCCGAGGGCCTTGACGTCGATGGGCCGGTGCGGAGCGTAGGCCACGCCGTCGACGCAGACGAGACCCCTTGGTGTGGACTCGTGGACGAGGGAGGCTACGGAGGCGACGTCGTGGATCGTGCCTAGGATGTTGCTCGCGTGCGTGAGGGTTACCAGGCGGGTCTTGTCCGAGAGCAAGGGCTTCAGGTTTTCTGTTGTTAGCTTTGGGTTTGTGGTGGATGCTGCGTCCGTGGGCTTCCACCACTTTAGCTCGAGTCCTTGGCGGGCGGCGAGATCGACCCAGGAGGCGATGTTGGCTTCGTGGTCGACTGCTGATACGACGATTTCGTCGCCCTTGTCAAAGGTGAAGGTGTGGGATAGGTTGCGGAAGAGCTGGGTTGTCGAGGCGCCGAAGACTGTGGCCCTGTTTGTTAGAGTTTCCGCCAAGAGTGGCATATAGGCATTCTCATTCACCTATCTCGTCGGAAGATGCGTTGATGTACTTTGCGCCGGCTTGGTAGCCTTCGCCGTAGGAGGCCGTCGCCTTCTGGCCGACTTTGTAAGACGCGCCTAGCTGGACGTTGCTTTGTGTGAGATAGTCCCGGATGCTGAAGCGTCATGTGAGCGAGATTTGAGATGTGAGTTTGAGGAGTACAGGCGACATACGACTCAATGACTGTTCCCAGCGTCTGACTTCCACCTGCATTATCGAAGAAGACCTGGTCTTGGCCCAGAGCAGGGAACTTGCTTCTCACGGCAGAGATGTCTATTTGAGACGCCATATTGAATGTGTTTCTGGCTAGAGATGTACAAGATAAATGAAATTTATGTAAGAGAAGTATCACAGGACAACTGAAGAAAACGAGAAAGAACTGAAGCTATCGTGATTGGGAACGAGGTCCGAGTGTTAAAGATGTGAGATTACGATAGCAGCTGCGGGGCAGGGCGTAATGGACGTAAAAGGACTGGGTTCAGATGATTAGGGAACTGCCCAATTGAGAAGTGAAGCGGCCTTGGGAAGCCCGCAATTTGCAGAAAGCCAATTGATCTAGTGTTTCTATGGATGCATGACGTTTTGCTGTGCGGGCGAAGGAACAACCTCAGTGCGGTGCTTGCTGGTGGGCGGGGGGAGGAGAGGAGGATAGAGGGGCAGTGCGAGAATGGGAAGTGTGGGGCGCGGGGTTTCGGCGGTTGGGCCCGGCTCGCCCGAAGCTTGCCCGCCTGCGGTGCCATCATCCCGTCCGGCTTTTGGGTGAGAGAGCCTCCGATGCCAAGCGCCGTTGCACACTTCCATCGCCAATCCTTGGGTGTGGTTTCCTTTGACAAGAGGAATGGTAGCTAGTCTGCCAATAGATTGAGAGGGAATCGGGAAAAGTAGAGTTAAGGTATCTGCCGCTTATTCGACTCCCACCCTCCCTCTTATGCATTGCCTCTGACACAAGACGCATCTCATGCAAATTTCAAGCGCCAGGAGCGAATCGTGCATGTCTTGTGTATCTAGACACCGGCATTGGCTATCTCCTCACCAGCCTGACGGTACTAAGTGGCTGCGCAGGAGAGAGAAGCAACCGGCGCTTGCACCGTCATGCGGACGAGTTTTTGGACAATCCAATGTCTAGACAGAGAGCCAACTCTTTTGCCAGCTCTGATCATTGGCCATGCCGGCACTGGACGGCGGTGTACCCAGGAGCTCCCCCGACCGTTAAAGTGCCCCCGCCATCTGCTGAGCGAATGCTCGTGGAGAGGCGCTTTTGCAAGCTTTGCAGGGGCCAACGGTGGGACGGTGCTAAGCCCATGGGACGATTTGGCGCGAAAACAGCTGCTGGGAGAAAAACTTTATGTGGGGCCTCAGCCCACGTTCGGTTCCGATCAGCGACAGACAGCCCAGCGCTGGGGTCGTCACAAAATATTGAAATTCTGGGAGGCTGCCAACAACTTTTCCCCTTCTCTTAATTGTCCCCAAGAGGTTGTCTCTACTCACTCAATCACCCAAGATGAAGCGCAAGGCCAGTTCACGGATTGACGACAAGAGAGCGTCCAAGAAGAAGACCAAGACGAGTTAGCCATCCCTACAACAAGTTCAACTTTTTCTATTGCCCCGATGTCGTCACTAACACCGAACTTTCTTTCGCTCCACGCACAGCTCTCTCGGCCGACGTCGCAAAGTTGAGATTCCGCAAGGGTCTCTTTGACAAGAAGGTCCACGACGCCTACACGAAGCAGTACGCCGAATCGAGCCCCTACAAGCACTCCGTCATTGACGGCCTCGTCGACGACGCCCTCCTGCGCTCCGTCCGCGACGAGATTCGCGAAAACGTCTCCTTCACCCCCAAGGAGACCGATATTTACAAGATCCACCAGTCGGGCGACCTCGCCAACCTCGACGGCCTCGACGATGACGCCCTCGCCAAGCTCCCGAGCCTGCTGTCGCTCCGCGACGCAATCTACTCCGAGACTTTCCGCGACTACGTCTCCCACATCACCGGCTGCGGACCCTTGAGCGGTCGCAAGACCGATATGGCCATCAACGTCTACACCCCCGGCTGCTACCTCCTCTGCCACGACGACGTCATTGGCAGCCGCAAGGTCAGCTACATCCTCTACCTCACCGACCCGGACACACCCTGGAAGCCCGAGTGGGGCGGCGCCCTGCGCCTGTTCCCCGTGCTCGAGCAGGAGGGTAAAGACGGCGAGATCGCAAAGACGCCGGCGCCGGACCACTCCAAGGTCATCCCGCCCGCGTGGAACCAGCTCTCCTTCTTCGCCGTGCAGCCCGGCGAGTCCTTCCACGACGTCGAGGAGGTCTACCACGCCGACACGAAAGCCCAGCTCGAGGCCGAGGGCGGCCGCGTCCGCATGGCCATCTCGGGCTGGTTCCACATCCCCCAGATCGGCGAGGACGGCTACGTCGAGGGCGCCGAGGAGAAGCAGGTCAAGAACTCGGGGCTCATGCAGCTCCAGGGCAACCCGGACCAGCACGACACCCCGCAGGCGCGGCCCGTCAAAGTGGACAAGCCCAAGGCCAGCCTCGAAGGCTTCGACGAGGCCGGGCTCGAGTTTTTGCTTAAATACATTGCGCCGACGTACCTCACCCCGGACACCCTGGAGCAGATCTCGGAGCACTTTGAGGAGAACTCGAGCATCACGCTCCCCAACATCCTCTCGAAAAAGTTCTCCGCCAGGCTCAAGGAGTACATTGAATCCCAAGAGTCCTCCGAGAACACCCTCCCAGACAACGACAGCGACGCCATCGAAAAGAACTCGGCATGGCGCGTCGCCCGTCCCCCGCACAAGCACCGCTTCCTCTACCAGCAGCCCGCGGGCGCCGACGAGCTGCGCAGCGCGCACGAGGAGAACCCGCTCACGGAGCTGCTCGACCACCTGCTCCCCTCGCGGCAATTCCGCGAGTGGCTGCAGGTCGCCACCGGCACCGTCGTCGAGAGCCACGAGTTCCTCGCGCGCCGGTTCCGTCGCGGGCAGGATTATACGTTGGCCACGGGCCACGACGGGAAGCCCCGTCTCGAGTTCAATCTCGGTATCACCCCGTCCAAGGGCTGGGGTGACGAGGAGGAAGAGGAGGAGAAGCCTGAAGAAGAGCAAGAAGAAGCAAAGCCTAACGGCAAATCAAAGAAGCGCAACAAGGGTAAAGGCAAAGCCAAAGCCGAGTCCGAACCCGCACCAGAAGAGAAGGAAGAAGAGACAGAGGTCGGCGGGCACGAGGTCTACATGGCGGGCGACGACGGCGAAGAGGACGAGGACGCGGCGATTTACAAGTCGTCGGGCGACGACGACAACATCCTCTTCTTCCAGGCCGCCGCGTGGAACAAGCTCACGCTCGTGCTCCGCGACAGCGGCACGCTGCGATTTGTGAAATATATCGGGCGCGCTGCCAAGGGGGATCGGTGGGACGTCTCGGGCGCGCTTGATATCGAAGACGAGGACGAGGAGGGCGGGGGTGCAAAGATTGGTGGTGGTGGGGAGGACGAGGACGCGTCTGAGGAGGAGTGGAATGGGTTTTCTGATTCACCTGCCGCGCAGACGAGCGATAGCGACTGAAAAACTTCAAGTCTTGAACGACGCGTGTGTATACGTAATGTACATCTCGCCTGCTGCTTTCGATGTTTGGGGATTTGCACGGCTAGACATAAAAAGTTATGAGTTACAATACATGGTTGTCCCATTTTCAAACCTCGTTCTTTATGTTGACTTGATGATATCAACTGAAGAGTAATCGTAAATCGGGATGTTGGATATGAGAGACGTTTAGAACCCCCCTGACCGGAGGAAATTGGTATGATACGATTTCCAAGACTAATAAGAGAAACATGAGAAACCGAATCTACTAGCAACTCGAATTTCCTACAGCTGAAAGTAAAATATAATCCATAAAAAAATCGCTACCCTTTGCCCATGCGCCTCCCATAAAACGCCTTTGTTTCTTTCAAATACAAAGTGCTAGCTCATATGACGAGTTCCAAAAAGTCTAGCAAATGCTTATAATGCGAGCTTGCGACGACCATAAAAAGGACCAGTACATCTCGCACGCTCTCTAGCTCTCATGCCCTCTCTCGATCGACCTCTAAAACTTCTTCAACTTCTTCTGGGGCACCGTCTTGATGAACGCATGCTTCAAGAAATGCAACCACACCTTGTTGTGCTTCTTCTTCTTCTTTCCACCCTTACCCTTCTTACCCTTCTTGCCTTTCTTTCCCTTCTTCTCCTCTGCTTCTACATCTTCATCTTTGTCATCATCTTCATCGTCGTCATCTACGTCGTCATCATCGTGTTCTCCATCTTCAACCAGCTCCTTCTTCTCATCTAATGACTCTTCCTCTTCTACGTCTTCGTCATCATCTTCAAAGTCCTCAGCAAGGGCCTTTCCTTTGCCCTTTTTAGCATTCTCCTTAGCAATGCGACTCGCCAGCTTGACGTAGCTGCGAACGGTCAAGTCCGATAGCTTGTAGATCTTGTCGGTAAAGGTGCTGTATTCAACCTCGAACGCAAAGGGGCGCGGCTTGGGCTTCTTGGACTTGGGATCCTTGTCCTTGTGGATGCCGTCACGCCACTTGTTCCCAGATGCGTCCTTGCTCTCGTGCGTCATGTCGTTGTTGAGGTAGGTCAGGTTCGCAAAATACTGGGTGTATCCAAGGAAGGTCAGGGGCTGAGGTGCGTATGCCGGGCCAGGGCCGGTGCCTGCAGGCGGCGGCTGAGGGATGACCAAGTTAGGGTCCTTAGGTTTTGTCGGCTTCTTTCCCTTTTTGCCCTTGTTGCCCTTCTTCTTCTTCTTGGCGGCGTCGATTTCGCGCTTCAATTCTTCGTGAACGGGGTCGTCGTCTGATGGGAGTGCTAGAGCGGGCACAGAGTTGGTGAACGAGTCGGTCCAAACCGCGGCATCCTCGAGCCCGGAAATGTTGTACTCCACGACACGGAGTGTGGGGAAGTAGTTGGGGACGATACTGGGACCGACGAGGGAGAGGTGGTAACGCTCTGCGTACTTGCCGCCCAAGTCCTTTCCTGGCTTCTTCTTTTTCTTCTTCTTGTCCTTTGCATCCGACTCCACAGTGTCTTCCTCCTCGAGAGCCTTCACATTGACGGCTGGCAACTTGGCCCAGCCTTCTCGCAATTCTGTGAGGTAGTCCTGTGCCGACTGAATTTCGAGTTCATCCTCAAAAGCTTCGCGGCCGACGTCATCGTCTACCGCGAAACCCCCCAAGATGTTGATGTCGATTTCCTTGGTGTCGTGTACAATGAAATGATCAATGTTCATGTGTCCATAAAGCGAACCAACAACAACATCCCGATACTGCTGCATCCAAAGGTTGTACTTTTGCCAGCAGGTTTCATCCCAATTCTTCTTGCTGTCGGTCCGGGCCGGGGGCACGTGGCCCATGAGGATGGCCTTCATGCCGCGTTCGCGGAGGAACTCCAGCTGCACGCGAAGCCACTCCATTTGCTTAAAACCTGGCTCGGACGGCTGCTGGCAATCATCGACACCGGCGTTTCGGTCGAAAAAGTACAATGTGTTGAGACTGAATACGGCGAGCTTCTTGGGAATGACCTCGGTGTAGAACCAACCGCCAAACTCGAAAGAGTGGCGTTGCTCCTCGGGGATAAAGCGCTTCCAGATCTCGGCATAGTACCCTAACCACTTATTGGGCCCTGGCAGGAGGATATTATGCGGTAGAATGTCGTTGTTTCCAAACGTCGGAATCACAGGTACGGCCATTTTCGAGGAGTCTTTCGGGTCGCCAAACGTTTCCGCAAACTTGTCGGCGATCCATCGATTTGTGCCGAGCACCTGGCCCGGGCTACGAGGAATGCTCTCATCGCTGTCGTGGCGCGCAGAGTCGCCAGTCCAAATGACGAAATCGATGTCGTCTGCAATATTCGCGGCGATCCAGTCAAAGGTCGCGTTTACGAGGGAAGATGGCGTATCGCAGTCGGACGTTTCTGCGCCATAGTAGCCGGCGGGTCCATCGCCTGAATGGCATGCAACGCCTTCTTCGGTGGAGGAGTGGGTTTTGTAGAATTGATCGGGGTGAAAGTCTACGAGGGCACAATAGTCATTAGCTTTTGGTGTCGTCCCACGTCAAGCAACAAGCAGACAGCGCTTCGCCTCATGTGCCTCGCCTGAGCGTCGCAACTGCACTCATGTCATGCCATGCTGATCGCGACGCCCGTGGCTGTCGTTGGGTAGCATTCAAAACCTACCAGTAATGTGCAGAAACTTTCCACTTAGACGTCGAGATCCTTCCTGTGCGACTGTTCCTGCGACCTCTGAACCAATGACGATTTGTTGCTGCCCGCTGGCGACAGGTGTTGCAATGACGCCATGCAGGCACAACTGCTGGAGCAGGGCGAGCTGCAGAGGCAGGGCGGCGCCCACTATTGCGGGTAAAGACCGCATTGCTGGGGAGGAGCTGAAGAGGCGCGCGGTACCTGGTTCGATGCTTCTATGGTTCTGACGCACGCAGGCACGGCCGCCGGTTGAAAGGGGCGATGATGTTGTTTTGAAAAAGAGAAGAGACCGTCGCAACGGGGGGGGATTCAGAGAGACAAGTAAGAGTGGGAGTGAAAATAGAAGACGGGGGCCAATTCAAGGTTATTAAGTCATGATTTTCCCTTGGCCGAGCTTTGGCTGTCCCCGTCGAAAAATAAATGGAAGCGCGAGCGACGTCTGTCTGGATCAATGGACAGGGTCTGTCTGACTTGGTTTGCTTGGCTTGGCCGTGGCCGTGACCTGGACTTTTTTCAGGGCTCCAGGGCTGGGGCGAGGCGGTAAGCAGGGGAGCGGGCAGCTGGAATATTGCTGGAACACCACCTTGGGGAATGCTGCCAGACGTGAGCGGTAAGGTCCAAATATGTGTGTGAGCGTGAAAGTCAGAGCATTCGTACCCAAGGTATAATACACAATGACACCTTTGGAGACTGAGAGAAGAGATGGAGGGCGCAAGGGTCCACGTCACAGTAACCGCTCTTGGGAACAACCCAGCTGGTCAACCTTGCTTCGTAGGCACGTAGGCACCCGACTGGACGTAGGGAATCGCGGCTGGTAGGTGACCCTAAATAATCAACACCGGTTGAACTTGAGGGGTGATCCTCCCGCACGCCAACTGCCTGGCTTGCCGTGCTTGCGTTAGAGTTGATGGCCGATGTTTTGCAAGTGGGAAAGTGATGATGTCCGGTGGCGTCCAATGGTTGCATGTCCCTGCTGACTGACGGCTGGGCAGGGGAAAAGGAAAGGTCAGTGATGGTGGCACTGGTGAGAAGGAGGTAGCATCAACCATCAACAGGTGCTCCTTTCTTTCTGGAACCTGGGAGGAGCATGACTTTTAATGTACTTGTCCGCTCCTTCCGACGACCACAACGTGCCCTGGTGTTGGCATCTCATGCCTTCACTGCCACGAATGCCTCACACGACAATGCAGCAAGGAACATGATTCCCCGCCTTGCCTTTCGTGTGCGTTACAACTTACATGCACGCAAGTCGCTGGAAACACCGCAAACAAGACCATCAAGGTCCATGGCCGACCAGAGATGAAACTCTCACTGGATGATTATCATCCGGAGTCCACCCCCATCTCCATTTTCCATCCAGATCTCCAGCACTAATCCACGGAGCACGATGGCCAGTCCACAAGGCTGAAAGCTTCAACCTTCAATTCGCAGCCAATCGAGCTGCGGCACTCCGACACGTGTGGTCGTTCCACGACACCCACTGCCCATCGAAACATCCATGGGCTGAGACAACCACCCCATCCCGCGATATTCCATCACTGCATCAGCGAGGTTGCCGCCTGGTAGCGCCGCACACGAGCCAGTGCCGAGTGCTGAGGCGTCCTAGGGCCTCTGACCGTCCCCCGTGAACCACCTGCTACCTATTCCATCCTCGGATCCTCCCCTTTGGAGCGTGGGAGAGGTCGTCAGACTGAAAGTGTGACCGTCGATATGCACAAAAGTCCACAATACCTCATTCTGGGGTGGGCTGGTCGGCGCGAGTCAATCCGGCACTTTCTCCAACCCGTCGCTTGATCTGCCCGCTCCCCATCGTGGGGCCGCGTGATACCCCGATATACCACATATCCATGATTTCTCAAAGTGTTCTACATCCCGTCCGCCTAGAAGTGCCAAGGCAGTCCTTCATGCCGCATCTCCAGGCAGGTCGTTGCGACCTTCATTCAGATGTTATTGCAGACTCGGGCCGTGTCTGGTCCCCTGCTGACACTTTTGCGCTGACGTCATATCTAAAAGAGCCGTCAAACTCTCGCTCTCATGTTTGCTGGTTGATCCCTTGCGCTCGGTTTAACATAGAGAGATGCTGACGGCACAGAATGTTTGAAATGCAAATGAAGGCTCACCGCATCTCACCACATGCACTCGTGTTGTAGGGAGTTGCATGGTCACTCTCATGCGGTGTGTTCCCCTCAGATGGTCAGTTGACTGATTGTCAAATTCGATCCTTTTTAGGGGTCCTGTCAACCTAGCGGCCAGACGAATCCTAGGTCGGGCGTGACTGGATTGGGTTCCTGTGGACAATTTCTATGAATACGTACTGTCATGCCTAGATCACGTGACGTTGATAGATCTCTTCAGCTGACGCCGCCTGGCTGTGGGATAGTCGGAAATACCCAGATAACGTGACCAGAAGCCCTGCGTAAACAGTGAAAGAAGCAGTGCGCAAGGCTGATGCACGGTGTTTCTAGGCTTGCAGATGCCAGACGTAGGTAGTCATCAGAATAGACATGGCGATCGCGAGCCTCGATAAAGCGCCGCAGACCGAGAAATCTGATAGAGCGCTTGCTCGGTGAGAAAAGTCGTAAATATGTTCGGACGGGTCAGTCTCCTGTCGTTAGTGATTGTCGCTGTGGCAAGAAATGCCACAATAGCATCATCCTGCAATATCCTCCTGGCCAACCACAAATTGTGTAATAACGGCTGATTACACAGGATGGCCGAGGCAAAGCCGTAAAGGGTAGCAAAGCGCCGCTGCGCCGGTCCTTGCGGAAGATGGCCGTAGCCTCTCTGGGAATCTCAGGAAGCCGCGATCGATGGAAAGGGCGGGGGGCCGCTTTTTGTAGTATCGCAGAGCAATCAGCATCGTGAGGATGTTAAGCGACAAGCTCGGGCGTGTACTCGGGTCTTGGGGGGTATCGCCTATCATATCTCCTGCGACGACCGAGGGCGAATCCGGAACTGCGAGCTGGTCAGCTTGCGACCGAAGGCTTTCCGAGGCAGTTTGAGCTCCACTACGGCGGACGGAAGCACCAGAATGAACAGGGGGCTTGAATCCGTATATCCACAGAGGGGGAAAGCAATGGAGGCTCGTCCCACGGTCCCAGCCTCCAAGATTCTCCACCAGGAGAAGAGCCCCCCACCAAAGGAGGAGACACCCCCGGCCGCCGGCCCCCGGTTTTGCAGGCTTGAGTGAAATAAAAATTGCGCCAAAACAATGTCTCCAGACCAGAAAATTTTGGTAATATTGTAATTGCCCCTGATGATTGGATGCCGCAATCAGCGCAGACCCCAAAACACCCGAGGTACCACTCGTTAGTGCAAGAGATACAGGTACATGATAATGGCGACATAAGGACACCTGAACAGGAGTTGCCGCATGCCATAGGCTACAGCTGGCCCATGGAGTCTGGAGTCTGGACTCGTGATGCCCGGATTGGAATCGCAATGAACCGTTTTCCTCTCCCGTGCGGGACTTTTCTTCTCCCATGCCGGTAGCATAATTCTTTTCCATCGAACTCGTGTCGCGGGGCCGATGAAACAGTCTCGAAGATGCGAGGCTAAACCTGATGTTGTCGTCTTTAACTTGATAGCCATGAGTTCCTAAGCCTTAGTAAGGAAGTACCTTCAATCTGTAGCCGTCCTGCGCGCTGCTACCCGCCGCTGAACTGACAGGAACCTAGCCGGCTGGACGGGACCTCCAGATCAACAGTGAGGTAGCAATGTCCAATCACCCAATGACAGCTGTGTACAACAGTATCAGGTACCTTCCAGTAGCCAGAGTTTTCGGGACATGACTCTAGCTTCTGCAGCCCTGGACGAGATGCAGACTGCATTGCAAAAGTCTGAGACGAGGCCCTTGCGACGGAAAGGTACAGTACGGAGTACGGCCTCGCGAGAGTCGCGACCTCAGATTTCTCCGCATGGAGCTGTCCTGGCTTCTCTGGGCTTGTCCTGGTCGTGTGTGATGGACGTCGTCCAGTAGCGTGGGGAAGAAACGGAGAGCCTTGTCATGGTCGCTCAAAGTCCGGATATCCATACCGTGACACAGGAAGAAGAAAAGGCCGGACAGGCGGGTGACCGGCGTTGTCGGGTAAGGCAGCAAGAATCGAGTATCCGTTGGTACCTCAAGTATGCGTGGTAGGGAACCTGACTCCAGGTACAAATCTTCACATGTGGAGGCAACGTGAGCGTCGCAGACTCGCAGCCAGTGGCCGTGTGGCTCAGTGCTGCAGCAGCGGTAGCCCCGGGGTCTGGAGGGAGCATACCCGTCTTTATGGGGATTAGCCTCGTCTCCGGGCGGAACCTGACATGAGACGGACAAAGTCCAGTCTGTTCTCTCCTGCTTCTTGATCGGCCGTCTTCATGTGTGATGGATGAGCGGACGGGCGGGCGGTCGGACCAAGGTAGAGGTGGACACATGCTGTCAATTGAATTGTGCATGATGCTCCCGTTCTCATAGCGAAAGACCAAAGTCAAGACGGATGAACGGGACTGTGACAACATTCCAGAGAGGCCAAGAATTGGGGTAACGAGTTGTACCAACGAGCTCTGGGTGACGGCATGCAGCGCAAACAGATGTCGTAGGAATGTTTATCAGTGACGTTTTTGCACCTTGACTCCTGTCGCTGGGCGTCTTGCTATTCGCCATTCGCCCTTGCCGTACGCCGTATCCGACCGCGGTACTTGGTATTGTTCCTGTCATGCCTCGCGTCATTGGTCTCTTTGCAGATGCCTGTATCTGGCCTTTGCCTTCGTCTCGATCGTTCACCAGGCCAAGATCAGTTGCCTGTAGAGGCAAATCAGTCAGCGGATGAACATTGTTCGAGTACCTAGCACAACACCTCAAGATGAGATGGAGATCTAAGGTATATGAAATTTGTGCGTGATAGAGAGGGGCCGGCCGAAACAGCAGTACAAATGTAAAGGTAGTGGGCGAGGGGGATGCAGAGGGAAAAAAAAGGGTACATGTGGCTTTGGACAGGGGTGGTTACCTCTGAGCAAAGAGCAGTTGCGGTGCAAGGTCTCCGCAAAGCAGCAGGGAAAACCGCGATACGGAGCAGGGGGAATGGGACAGAATGGGGGGTACTTTCGGAAGGTACTTTCCTGAGGTCGTCGTTGTTCCCGTGAAAGTGAAGAAAAGCAGCCCCACTCCAGTCCATTGCTGCTCTTTGCTGCTGAGTGAAAAATAATCCAATCTCGCTGATTCGTCCGTTGGCCCGCCGTCGCCTTCGTCATAGCCGAGGAGACCCACTTTGTCGACCCTGTTCCTCAGCACCTTCTCCACAGTCCACACAGCAGCGCGGCAACCAGACGGCCTGCGCCCAATTTGAGCCGAGCACGCACCGTGGCACCGTGGCCACCCCCCCAAAAGCTGCCGCGGAAAGAGCCCAGAGCGAGGTGAAAGAGGGCAAAAGCGAGTGTGATCCGGAAAGAAGGTGCGAGGATTTTTTACTGCCACCCCCATCCGGAAAGACCTAGGCCTGGCTTGCTTTGCCGCCTTTCTTCTACTACTTGACCTCCTCGTCGGAAATTCTCTCCACCTTCTTGTTTTCTTCCTCTTAATATTCTTTTCCTTTCCTCCATCCTCACAAACAAAGTCCCTTGAACAGGCAAGGGCACTTGAGATATCTGTTACGAGCTTCATCACAGCTCGGACAACTCTCCACTCAAGCTCAATTGATCAGTTTCATTGCTGTTCTCAGTGTCAACACCAATCATGTTGGCTTCACGACAGCTCCTGGGCTCTGTTGCCCGGAGCCGTACTGCCGCCAGTGCCCGTCTGGGACTGCGTGGCATGGCTACCGTCTCTGACTCTCCCCTTGACCGCAAGGTACGTTGATTTCTTCCCTCTAATGCCAGAAAACCGTTCTCTACGGTGATTTCTGTCTGGACAGCATGGCCGGGTGCTTCTTTGGCATCGCGTACGTGTTTGCTCGACATGACAAGGGTGCTGACTCGCCGAAAACAGGTCAAGCAGAACATCCACGAGGAGGGCAACTTCATCAACTACAAGAAGATGTCCGAGAACCTGTCCATCGTTCGCCAGCGTCTCAACCGCCCCCTGGCCTACGCTGAGAAGATTCTCTACTCCCACTTGGACGACCCTCACGGACAAGAGATCGAGCGTGGTGTCTCATACCTGAAGCTCCGCCCCGATCGCGTTGCTTGCCAGGATGCCACTGCCCAGATGGCTATTCTGCAGTTCATGTCTGCTGGCATGCCCTCCGTCGCCAACCCCACCACTGTCCACTGCGATCACTTGATTGAGGCTCAGATTGGTGGCTCTAAGGATCTTGCCCGTGCCGTCGGCATCAACAAGGAGGTCTACGACTTCCTTGCCTCTGCTTGCGCCAAGTACAACATCGGTTTCTGGAAGCCCGGCTCTGGTATTATCCACCAGATCGTCCTCGAGAACTACGCTTTCCCCGGTGGTCTTCTTATCGGAACTGACTCTCACACTCCCAACGCCGGTGGTCTTGGTATGTGCGCTATTGGTGTCGGTGGTGCTGACGCCGTCGATGTCATGGCCAACCTTCCCTGGGAGCTGAAGGCCCCCAAGGTTATCGGTGTCAAGCTCACTGGTGCTCTGAACCCCTGGGTTACTCCCAAGGATATCATTCTCAAGGTTGCCGGTATCTTGACCGTCAAGGGTGGTACTGGTGCCATCGTTGAGTACCACGGCCCTGGTGTCGACACCCTCTCTGCTACCGGTATGGGAACCATCTGCAACATGGGTGCTGAGATCGGTGCCACTACCTCCCTCTTCCCCTTCAACGAGTCCATGCACAAGTACCTCACCGCCACCAAGCGTAAGGACATTGGTGACTTCGCAAAGACCTACGCCAAGGAGCTTCGCGAGGACGAGGGCGCCGAGTACGACCAGCTCATCGAGATCAACCTGTCCGAGCTCGAGCCCCACATCAACGGCCCCTTCACCCCCGATCTGGCCACCCCCATCTCCAAGTTCAGCGAGGCTGTCAAGGCCAACAACTGGCCCGAGGAGCTCAAGGTCGGTTTGATCGGTTCTTGCACCAACTCCTCCTACGAGGACATGACCCGCGGTGCTGCCATCGCTCGCGACGCTCTCGACCACGGTATCAAGTCCAAGGCCATCTTCACCATCACCCCCGGTTCCGAGCAGATTCGCGCCACCATTGAGCGCGATGGTCAGCTTCAGACCTTCGAGGAGTACGGCGGTATTGTCCTTGCCAACGCCTGCGGTCCCTGCATTGGCCAGTGGGATCGTCAGGATGTCAAGAAGGGCACCCCCAACTCCATCATCTCTTCCTACAACCGTAACTTCACCGGACGTAACGACGGTAACCCCGCCACCCACTCCTTCGTCGCCTCCCCCGACATGGTCGTTGCCATGACCGTCGCCGGCAGCCTCCACTTCAACCCTCTTACCGACAAGCTCAAGGACAAGGACGGCAACGAGTTCATGCTTAAGCCTCCCTCCGGAGACTCTCTCCCCAGCCGCGGATACGACCCCGGCCAGAACACCTACCAGGCCCCTCCCGCCGACCGCAGCACTGTCAACGTCCAGGTCTCTCCCTCCTCCGACCGTCTTCAGATCCTGTCCTCCTTCCAGGCTTGGGATGGCAAGGATGTCAACGACATCCCCATCCTGATCAAGTGCAAGGGCAAGACCACCACTGACCACATCTCCATGGCCGGTCCCTGGTTGAAGTACCGTGGCCACTTGGACAACATCTCCAACAACATGTTGATTGGTGCCATCAACGAGGCCAATGGCGAGGCCAACAAGATCCAGAACTTCACCACCGGCGAGTGGGACGCCGTCCCCGCCGTTGCCCGTGACTACAAGGCCAAGGGTATTAAGTGGGTTGTCATTGGTGACTGGAACTACGGCGAGGGTTCTTCCCGTGAGCACGCCGCTCTTGAGCCCCGTCACCTTGGTGGTCTTGCCATCATCACCCGCTCCTTCGCCCGTATCCACGAGACCAACCTGAAGAAGCAGGGTATGCTTCCTCTTACCTTCTCCGACCCCGCCGACTACGACAAGATCAGACCCGAGGACAAGGTCGACATTCTCGCCACCGAGCTCGAGGTCGGCAAGCCCCTGACCATGGTTGTCCACCCCAAGGATGGCAAGGCCTTCGAGGTCAAGCTCTCTCACACCTTCAACGCCCCCCAGATTGAGTGGTTCAAGAACGGTTCCGCTCTCAACACCATGGCCAAGTCCGCTGGCAAGTCATAAACGGACAATGTTACGTTAGCGATACGGGTCAGGGCGATATGTGGTTAGGCGGTGTAGGCGTACCTCTGTTTATTTAGCATGTTCTGGGGTGTCGGTCGGTATAACTAAAGTGTATGGCCGCGTTACGCCCTTTGTTTTGGTCGGGCAAATACCTCTGGGACTATTGTTTTTTCTATGTCATGTAGGCCATGATTTCCTAGTATGTACAAATTTGAAACGTTCAAACAAAATTTCGACGCAAGGGACAATGCCAGATCGAGCCCAAAGTGTTCAAGTACCATAAATCCGTATGTGATCTTCCTACATTTTACCAATGATCCATTATACAAAGCACTTGAGAGACCCAAGACGAGTTACATAACTCAGTGTGACGCTGTAGCAGGCACGTGATGATAAGAGGTGGATGGGTTGTACAACAGGGGTCTTATCTAACATTTTTGGGATCGTCCGAAGAGGTCCGAGTGGACCGGGAGCATGCGACAGGTTGTCTACAATTTCCCAACTGCAGTAAAACACACAATCTCCGTGGTGCCAACTCGAGCCAACTCTCATGCCTTGTGCTGTCGACTGGACTCATTGCTAGAACGACTTTTCACTTTATACGCGGCGATTGGTGCTTGTTTGGTCGCCAATTTTTCCACCCGACTTTCGACCCTCGACCCCTCTGGATCCCGTGAATCCCGGAGGCGGCGGGCGCGATGGCTCCTAACATAACGTCCTTCAGCACCCTTCGGGCTCGCTCTTACGTATTCCGGTTACCGCTCTTTACGCGCATCGTTTTACTGGTCATCATCGCCGCGTGGTTCGCAGGTCTTCAGCATTCGTGGGATGTCAGGCATTGGGGCGCCCTGATTCCTGACCAGCTGTCCTTTACCTCTTGTAAGCTTCCCTTGCCTGCCAGGCGACCCTCTATAGGCGCGTTCTGTACTGATTGTATATCGGCGACAGCATACCGAATGAATACGTTCCCCTTCGTTCATGTAAACCTCATCCATACGGTCATGAACTTGGCGGCTCTGGCGCCGTTGATGGAGCGGTTTGAGGCGGAATTCGGGACCTTGACCTCTATTGCCCTGTTTATCGGCCGTAAGATGACCCCTTGGTGTACTCTACAAGGTGCAAGCGACTAATTTCTTGCAGCTCTGAGCACGATCCCGGCTATTCTCTACACCTTGATCGAACGGTTCCTCTTCAAGGGCAACACCGAAGTTATGGGAGCTAGGTAAGAAACTATACAGGCGATGCCCGCGAGCCAAGGAGGTTTGAAAACTGACGAGAAACCCATAATGTAGCGTCTGGGTCTTTCTGCTCCTGGGCATCGAGGCGATCCGAACCTACAAGACGAACCCCCACTTGACGATTGCGACGTACTCGATTCCCACGTGGACAACCCCCCTGATCCTCATCCTGGTGGTTACGGCGCTCGTTCCCGGCACCAGCTTGCTCGGTCATCTCTGCGGTGTCCTGGTTGGATATCTCTGTAAGAGACCTGGCACTTCCTTTTCCCTGTCCTGCTAGAAGGATACATGACTAACTCAATATTACTTTTTCTAGTTGGTCTCGGCTACCTGAAGTTCCTGAGCCCACCCGAAAAGGCCCTGCGATGGATCGAGTCGAAGCTGAACCTCCTCGGGCGGCTGCCGCACTACGTGAGCGTCGACCAAAAGACGTACGGTCGATTCGGCGTCCTGCCCACCAACACCCATGCTGGTGGCGGCAGCGCACCGATTGCGCTTGTTGGCACGACGCAGAGACTTGGGCCATGAAGGGGAACGCACGCATTGTGTGCGCATGTGCGTGTGTGTTGAAAGCTTGTAATACTACATGGCATACTTTGTCCCGGTTAGGCTGCAGTTTGCACCTTGGTCGGAGTTTGGGAGTTCATAATGCAGGCAAAAAAAAAGTAGCATGTGTACAAGGCGGGGTAGAATTTGTTTTGTATTACCAGTTCTCTCTATGTTTACTTATGATTGTAAACTATATAATATGAAAGATTCTCGTATGTGTAACCACCACTGGCCTTTGTCGGAGCATTTGCGTGTAGACATATCACACAGCCGGATGGAGAACGGTGCTAGAAGTCTCATAGGTCTCGCGATTCTTTTCCTACTTGTTTGCAAAGGGTTTCTAATGTTGGAATACTCTTCATCTGTTGATGGCTAGTTTGTCCTGTATGCTGAGCGAAGCGAGAAGGAGATTTATTTGACCTTCCAAGTTGAATTCAGCTAATGAGATAGCATGTACGTGCCGTACTGCTCTGTGATATTGGACACTCGTCGCCTGTGTTGGCCGGGGCTTTCAGGAACCAACAAGTCAAGGGAGCACAGTCACATCTTCCGGCTAACTTGGCAAAGCCTATAGAATCAGATCCTTCCATCGACTCGGAGCCTTGAATTGGGATTCAACTCGTACAGGGAAACGTTGTCGAAGCATGACGAGCTTGGTTCAAATGCCTTCATCCCACTCTCATCGCACGAAGAGTTGCCCCACTTACTGTTCTCCCGTCCAAGCTAGTCCAAATCAGGTCTAGACTCACTCGTCAAACGCTAATAAGAATTTCTGCGGCTCGTTCAATCCTTCCGTCTTTTTTCTTCTTCACATTCAAATGTAACTCGATCCTGTCAACATAAGCTGCTTGTCAACCTCTTCCATATTTGCCGCATTCCAGGATCACAGTTTCTAGAGTATTCAGCCGCTCGTTTGAGGGTCGTCATCGCTTTGCGCTTCCGTGATGGCTTCCCATGAAGAAGTGGCTACATGCTTCCGAAGCAAAACATTGAAAACTTGCCGTTGCTTTGATCTTATCATATCGCGGATCGCAACATCTAATGACCAGTGGGTCAGACGATGTTGTTTTTCTCCGGACATGGTCGCCCGGTGCCTTTCAAGCAAGGAGAAATCACAAACAACATAGATGAAAGCCAAGTTGAACGCTAAAAAGTGCTGGATATCTTTTGAAAACCTCTATCGATACATCCCACCCTACGCAGGTGCAGGCATCGGTCCCTTGAAGTATTTGCTAGGAACCAACGGCATCTTGGACACCACGGCTCCCCTCTTCTTGCCTCGCACTACAACGTCCAGCTCGGTGCCGGACTTGTGCAGACCCTCCTTGACGTAGCCCATGGCGATGTTCTTGCCCAACGTCGGGCTGGGCGAGCCGCTGGTGATGACACCGACCTTCTCCCCGTCCTTTGTAAAGATCTCGGCGCCCTCGCGGGCCGGCGCGCCTGAGATCACAAAGCCCACGCGGCGCCTCTCGATGCCCGCGCCGCCCTTGCTCTTGGACACGAGCTGCTTGTTGATAACCTCGGCGCCGTGGAAGCCGCCCTTGCTACGGCGCTCCTTGGGGATGATCCACGACAGGCTGCCTTCGACGGGCGTCGTCGTGTCGTCAATGTCGTGGCCGTACAGACACATGCCGGCCTCGAGGCGCAGGCTGTCGCGCGGGCCGAGACCCGCGAGCTGCAGCCTCTCCGGGCCGGCGACCTTCAAAAGCGTCTCGGCGATGGGGCCGGCCTCGCCGTTGGTGGACTTGAAGGAGATTTCAAAGCCGTCCTCGCCCGTGTAGCCTCCGCGGCTGATCATGGCCTTTTCGGGCGTCGACTGCCATTGGCCTTGGCTGTCCTGGTACCGGAGACGGGCGAAGCCCGTGTTGCCAAAGTAGAGGGAGCTCAGGTCCAGCCCGTCGGCCGGGTCAAGGACCTCCTGGAGGATCTCGGCGCTCTGGGGGCCCTGGAGGGCGACGAGGCCGTACCCTTCGAGGACCTCCCACCAGAAGTCGGTGCCCTCGGGGTTCTGGAGCGCGGCGGTGTGCTCAGTGAGGTAGGCAAAGATCTTTTCGCGGGTGCCGGCGTTGGAGACGACGGCGTACTCGTGCTCGCCGAGGCGAGTAATCATTGTATCGTCGACGATGCCGCCCGTACCCGGGTGGAGGAAGGTGCTGAGCTTGCTCGTGTTGAGCTCCATGTCGGCGACGCTGGAGGGGGTGACTGTCTCGAGGAAGGCAGCGGCCTTGGGGCCGGTGAAGCGGTGCTGGACCATGTGGGAGACGTCAAAGAGGGAGGCGTGGGTGCGGGTGAAGTGGTGGGACTCGGCGAGGGATTGGCCGGCGTACTGGACGGGCATGTGGTGGCCGCCGAAAATGACCATTTTTCCGCCGTGGGCGACGTGGAAGTCGTAGAGGGGGGTCTTGTCCTGCTTGGAGAAGGCGGCGAGCTTCTCTTTCCAGTTTGCGCGGGAGGAGGCGGAGCTGTAGAAGCGGCTGTTGCTGTTGTGTAGTTGTGATGCTCCCGCTGTTCTCGGGGCCGGGCCCGTGGAGCTCAGTCCGGCGACGGATGCGAGGGACCGGCCCTGGCGAGCGGGAGAGGCCAAGAAGGGCCTTGCCGTCCGGGCGGCTGCTACCAGTCTTGATCGTGTCATTTTCAAAAGTCCAATTGAGCTGGTATATTGGTGAACAGATTGGCAATTGAAGAGAACCGCAAGATCAAGGTTTCAAGAGGAGGAGGAGGAGGGGAGGAGGAGGCCCCAAGGTATGACGGAGAGCTTTCCCTTGTACCGATAAGGTATTCGGATGCGATAAGATGAGGCGGGTCCGAAGCTGGCCGAGCTCTCTGGCGTTTGATTGGTGAATTGGACGGAATCGTCTCGGTCCAGGATCCGAGTGCTCGGTATGGCACCCGCCGACCGGCGGTCTCGCACTCTGGAAAGTCTGAATGTTGGTTGAGGTGGTCGGGTCTGTTTCCTCTGCGGCTCGTTCAACGGGCGGATAGCCGCGCGGTCTCTTATCTGCGTCTCGCACACCGGGTCGTCTCGTTACTCTAGTAGCCCATCTTCCCATTCGCACATAGAGGTGTGTTTCAAAGACAAGGCAGTGTCGAGTCATTGGCACACCTCAGCTGAGCGTCGTTGGTACTTCGGTAATGGTTACCTGGTGGAAGAGCCATGATAGTTGTATTGCATCATACTCATGAGCCGGTGTCTATCGTATGTCCCTTTAGCTGTCGTACAAATTTCGCCTCTAAAGATGGGTTCCGCTTCACGATATAATACCGAACAAACATCACTGGGCTCATCCCTCTCTCCATTGAAGCAAGAAACTACCTTCACCGTTTCCCTTCATCTCAAACCAGTCTTGTCACATGGACACAGCTTCTTGGGGCAAAATTAGAAGGGTCAACTCAGGGTACAGTCTGAAGCGCCAGTATGCTCAACATGCTCATTCTTGACAAGTTCACTACTACCCAATGCGGTTTCAAAGGTCTGGTCAAATGAATAGAGAATTTGTAAGGCTTGGGAAGTAGGAAGTAGGCCGTAGTTGAATGCAGGCTCGAAGGTAAGTATAACCCGTACGTTTGAGCGTACCTAGTGATTTGAGCAATTGGGATTGAGACCCAGGCCCACAGTAGGCCCGCTCAAGCTGTTGCTCTGCCAAATGTCTGTTCTGCCGGACTCAGTCGTCGCGGCCTTGACAAGACGGAGAGCTGAACATGCTGAATCAATAGTATACATGCGTAAGTCGATTAAACTTCAGCTAAGAGTATTTATCGACTTGTAATGCAACCGACTTGCAAAGGCAAAGAAGGGACCCAGTGCACCAGAACTAGCTACCATGGAAGTTGCAGTTGGGGTCAACAGAAGGACCTAAGTATTAGCTCCCAGACTTATGGGAAACTGAGAAACCACGACACGACACGACACTTCATCGTCGGTATCCCTGCAACTTTGGTTTCTGAGACATCAAAGCAAGTGCGGCTGAGAAAGTTAAAACACACCCAGCACTTCTCATGTCGTATCCCGAGTTGGAACTTGGAAGACAGAATGGTGCCTGGCTCAAGACTATTCGGGGATGAAAAAAGGGCCAGCAGCTTAACGAGGCGTGTTTCCAATCGCCCATGGCAAATCTCGATGACAAGAATGCGGGTTGTCTTCATGGACCTCGAAAAGCCTATGTCTCTTCTGGAACACAAGGGATCGGCATTCGCCGTACAATCGATGGGCCACATAGCTTGAGATTAGCATCAGTTATGGAGCTGGAAGCTATACCACTTAGACTAGGTATAATAGCAGGTACCTCAAAGCAAAGCTCCCCACAGTAGGTCGGTTGAGGCAAAAGGAAACCCGTGGGAACCTCGGGCGCCCACCAACCACGGACTGTCTCGACTCTTCATCACGTCAGGCTACACAGGAACTTGTGCTTATTCGAGTGATGGTAGCGACAGACGGCGTGAACACCTCACCTCATGACCAGGCCGCAAGGGAAAGCAGCAGTAGCAGACAGCGTGAGAAAGCGATTTTTGGGAGAATGAGACGGAGAAAGCCACAGGGCGGCGCCACGTCGAGCTTGCAAGGAGCAACCGTGGCGTGGCGGGCATTGCGTGGGTCACTCGCCACATCCCCAAAAGCCATCGGGCGTGGGGTCGCGTCGAGAAGGGAGGGGAGGTTCGCGCGAGGTTCGATCGTAGGCACACAGCTCGATGGCCGTAGCCACACTTGGATGGAGGAGAAAGCATGGTTGGACCAGGGGTGGGAGGGAAGCCACAAATCGGGAGCCGCCTCATGTCTCTCCAAGTCTCACTTCTTCAACTCCCACTCCCACTGTCCAGTCTCCACACTTATAAGACGGTCTTTTTATGAGGAGAAGGAGGGAGAGAGAGAGAGAGAGACAGAGAGAGAGAGAAAGAAAAAAAAAAAAAGAGGCTAAAGTACCGTGGCATCTGGCACCCTCGGCAAGGCGACCCCCCGCAAAAGCTCTTTTGCTGGGATGCGACCCCTGCTCGTGGTCTATGCAGTATGTGGTTTTGAAGTTCCGAGACTTGAACATTTTCTCGACGCGACCCAGACCCCAGGTCATTTCCGTTCCTCGCGGCTCCCTATCGTACATGGTAAGCGTTCGTAGGTATCCTACGTGTTTGCGGAGTACCATCCGTACGAATAGGCCGTTGCCGCATGGGTGGCTGTTTCGGCAGATTGCAACCTGCCAGGCGGATACAGCGTCGCATTCAAGAGCAGAGGTGAAATTGCTTCACATCAAGACCAGCAGTCTAGCACCCATCCACAGGT